GTTCTCAAACACAATATCATGTTTTTGTGATCTACTTCCTGTTCTGAGCCCTTTTGTCAATGATAAACAAAAACTCATTAATCAATGATTGTCTGCGATATCACCTCGGTGGAAGCGGACGTAAAATACAACTAACTAAGTCAGTAATCAATGATTATATGAAATCAGTGATTTAAATGTGTGATTTACAATATTAGCATAAAGAACATTGAAGGTTTCCAAATAAGTTTGAATTTGAGTGCTCAAGTGCCTTTCGAATATCTTTGAAATTGTGGGGAGAATTGAGATTGGCCTATAATTGTTCGGATCATCTTTAGCTCCCTTGCGGTCATTTTGGACATCGGACAGGACCCCAACCGAAAATGACGTCACAGAAGTGACATAATCTCAAAATTGTCTTTAGGGACAAATTTTGACACAGAAACAACCCGTCCCCAAATATCGTTTCGATTGTGACACACTAGCCAAAAGTTCACTAAGTTTGTGCCCTGCCTCGCCGACGTTCAACATTTTAAATTTGACAGTCTACTTACGACTTTTGTTGAGTTTGCGGCCACCGCAGCTGTATAGGGAGGACCACTGGGCGTATTTATTTATGCTAATTGAATAACTTAAGAAGACCACACACATAATTTGGCTAAAATTACTCTGAACAGGATTTGGTAGTAAACTTATAAAATAAATCATGAAAACCTGGGAAAATAAAAATGCCAAAAGGTTGCTTTTTCCAGAATAATCTGTTGATTTGGAAAATATATGATTCATTCAACAACAAGTATCATATAGCACCAGAAGAAGCATTTTCTTGTGAACATTGTGAGCCACATTCCATATCCATAGGTCGATCTTTTCAGGAGTTATGAAGGTTTCCCCGATGGGCTCAATTTCAATGAAATAACGGCGGCCATCTTTAAAGATGGCCGCCAAAATGCAATTTAGCAAAGTAACCCGGAAGTCCATCAACCAAATTTCAACACTTCAGCCACCAGGCTAACTGAAAATCATGGTTGAATTTATTCATCAAATTGGTAATGATGTTCCAAAATCCCAGGTCTGTCACATGGACTATAATCTGACTTCTGAGAATGCCAAACTTAGTCAACTACTAATCTCTTAGCTAGTTACTGATTAGACCTAATTACAGATTATTTTAGACACTGTTCGAAAATATGGGCCTTGATGATTAAAATGTATTCATAAATTCAATAACTGTTTTATTCCAAAGTTATTGATTCACACTCTAATTCGAAAGTATCAAGATATAGAAATTTTACAGTTTGTAGCACAAAAAGAATAATATTTTACAATATACATTACTATACATGTAACAGTCATTTGTGAACATTAAAATTATGATATTGTAAAAAAAAAAACATTTATTCACAGAAACTGGATTGGAGGACAGGTAGATAGACCCCCTCTCCATAAAATGTGATGTTCAGTAATCTCACAGATTCTAATTTATTGAGTAAAATAACCTACAATGTACCAGTCAAAACTGGTCATATGGAAAATTTGCAAAAAAATGCTTTGAAAGACTTCGATTGCCCAGACATTTGAATATGCCTGCATGTAAATGGAATGAAAATAGTTAAAATTATTTTGTATTCTAAACAGATGAGCATTACTAAATTAATGAATATTTGAAACCTGCTTTCACTATTTAATTGACTAATGTAATTGTCTGTGATACATAGATCACTCTTGTTGGATGCAGACATTAAGGCACAGAAACGTTCTATATTGTAATGTATGTAGATTTCGATGTACAGTACCAGTTCATGGGATTGAGGAATTATTCATTGTAGACCATTAATGATTGTTATTTTGTGGCAATGTGTATAATCTGTTATTCAGTAAGCTGGGATGCAGCTAGATTCCTATAACTGTCCACAAACAACATCCTTGAACATGCTGAGTGTATAATGATTAATGGTTTATTTATGTGTCTATTCTACAGTCTTGATCTATTTCTCAATCTCAGCTTCTCTACATTAATAATGATTCATGAGCAACAATGAAGTCAAAATGGTATTATAAAAACAATTTTCATAATTGAATTTCATCTTTCTAATTTCTATATGAATTTAGTTATTGATGACCGGTACATGGATGTAGTTATTTTGAGAATCAATTTGTTTTTGTGTGATAAATCAGTGAGAATGAGTTTCTACACAACTTCGCGGAATAAACAAATTGATAATACGTGCGTATGTACATAGTATTGTGTAGAATGTTGAGAACAAATAAATTTATATCTTGCATAGAGATCTGCTTCTCGATTCTTAATGTCTACACATTGCCATCTTCATGTGTATATATACATATATATGTACCCCTACATATGTACATGTCCATTATCTTCCTGACGTGACAGCTCTATTAAGGTTACATTACGTGTACATGCAGACCTACACTGTAGTCCTAATTTCAAAACTTCAATAATTTTATGCAAGTGAGACTCAATTACATTCTATATTGAATATTATGCCGAGGTTTTTTATTTATCTATCTGTGAGATTGAGAATAGTTGGGATTGAAAGTTGTTTGGTTTAGTTTTTCTTTTTTCTGAAAAAAAATTTTCAAATCAAAATAGAAAAGTATTATTTTGTAGGGGTCTAACAGTTGTGACCTCATATAAAAAGGGTAAGGAAGTTACCTTCACAGAATGAGGGTTGGGATGACCTAGTCTAGAGTGTTGCGCTTTGATCTCTAGCTGGCTGGTCACCTCTGGCTTGCAGTCATGGTTTTGATCCCTGGTGTGAGCGCATGTGACTTGGAAATAGCGGGCGCCTTCTCAACCTCTTGGGTTTACTCCGGGTACTCCGGTTTCCTCCTACAAGAAAGACCCCTGCGCATGGGCTAAGATAATAAAAATGAAAAATAAGAAAACTTGGCTGCAATATCACCTTCGGTAGAAGCGGACGTTGAACACTAAGCACAACAACAACAACCATCATAGAGCCAGTTTAGTTTTTATGGTGCACTAATTAGACCATACATGTATCAGCTTTTATGTTGAATCCATATTTTGCAAAACAACACATGCCAACATTTTGTACTTGCTGCTTTACAATAGCAAGAAGCGGAAAGCAGCAATTTTTGTTATACTCAGTCCACCGGCATATCACCTTCATATCATAACAAAAATCTGTATAATAATAGGGAAAAAAGTTTCTTTGAAATGTTTTCAATGCATTGTTTTGTCCATAATACATATGTAATTTGACTTAAAAGGAATATATTGTCCATTATTAATGATGCTTAGTCACAGATGATATATCCCAAAGCTGTGTTTGTATTCAATTATCAGTGAGTCAGTACAGGAACAGCAACTATAATATCTATTCTGGCATCAAATTTATCATAGCTGTGCAGAGAAAAGTTTTTAATTGTCCACATCGTTAGAGGGCTTAATTGGCATTGAAATCCCAGCTTATTACACATTCTAATAGTGTGTCATTGATCCGATATGTCTGGTCGACAACAAATCAATGTTCGTGGTATTCACCAGCTCGACTAATTTGGCGGGCTAAAATATTTCCAGTGAATATTGACTGTATTTTCCATGCTTTCAGGCTACAGTACACACAGGAATACTTGCACATACTTCATGAATGAAATTACCATATTCTTTTTGAATAGTTAATTTTACTAATATAAATAAGTCAGATAAAGCTGTTTAGCTTGATCGTGTCAAAACAAGATACCGGTACATTTAAAGCCTTCAGACATGATTCTATAGCAGAAAGAGAAGTCAACTGAATACCCCATTTGGGAAAAAAACATTAAATGTTAATAAATTGTACCTTTACTAAATTAATATACATTGTATTTACCAATAATAGGCCAGTCCTTGAATACTCAAAGTGAACTGTTTTACATGTACCCTTAGGCTACTTAAATGACATATGGCTCTATTCTTTGGTTGTCTGCGATATCACCTCGGTAGAAGCAGGCGTTAAATACAGCTATTTCACACACTATTCTTTGGAACATAAAAATAGATGAAAACGCACATATTAATATGAATCTGCATTTTTAAATATTTATTGTAATTTCTAATCAATTTTGTTCGGTGAAATACATGAACAGTCAAATTTGAAAGGCATTTGTTTACGCCTGCTTAGTCCATTTGACGCAATTTTTTAATTATTTTATTGCTTGTGAATTGGCCATTACAAATTATTTCTGCATTGTGTTGTAGGATATGTTTTTCTTTGTTCGTTACAAATTGTTCCCAAAACCATACAAATTGTGTACTGCTTTAAGATGTCTTAAATATTGGATATTATGATCCCATATTTTCATGGCAAGATATTGATTAACATGGATCAATATTTAATTTTTATACACCCACATTGTACGAAAAATCACGTTTTTAGCTTGTGGACATTATAGAGGTCATAATTTTTATCCGATTTAAAAAAAAACGTATTATTATATCACCGTTACACCCTAAGGACGACCGAGTTCGAATTTCGTGAAAATCGGCCCAAAACTGACAGACAAAATGGCCGCCCCTCGTACTGAAGTAGCATAAAAATATAGTATATCAAGGTTGTGGACACTATAGAGATCCCAATTTTTATCTGATTTTGTTGAAACTTGAAATGTAAGTTTATAACCCAAAGATCTTGGTTCCTTTCGATATTCGCGCATACCGGACCGTAACTTCCTGAATTATGGCCCCTGATTGTACGAAAAATCGCGTTTTTAGCTTGTGGACCCTATAGAAGTCATAATTTTTATCCGATTTAAAAAAAAACGTATTATTGTATCACTGTTACACCCTAAGGACGGCAGCTGCTGGTTTTATTTATTATAAAATATGTTAATATTGATGAAACTTTGTGAACACAATACGGGACAAAGTTCCTGGTGGGATTGTTCATTTGGATTGAAAAGGGGAAACCTACATGTATACTTTACGTTATATATTTTTGCCCCATTATTTAGGTTTGTGAACTCGTTCTTATCAAATTGCTTTTATTTTATAGACCCAAGAACTAAAGATTGGTTATTAATAGCTAATAATCCAGTACCAGTATGGATATTGACAGCCCTGTATCTGGCCTTTGTGATAATGGGACCAAGATTTATGAAGAACCGAGCAGCATTTGAACTACAATGGTTTCTTATATTATATAACCTAGGTTTAGTTGTGTTGTCTGTTTATATGTTTGTTGAGGTGAGCACCGTATACAGTTACATTTATATTCTACAAAAGTACCGATGTTTACTTTCAGATTACCTATGTAAAACATTGCAAGTGAATTTTGACCAAAAAGAGTTGTATGTAATTAGGAATAGTCAAATCTCTCATCTCTCTAATTCAAACAATTTGGGAGATCATTATTTTTGATTGATGTAACCTATCCTTGTGTACCAGGTTGAAAGGTTAATATCTCCTAATAACCAGTTACTATTTAATGTACTGGTAGATAATCTTATGATGTCATTTCTTATTATAAAATATGTAAATAAAGAATTATTATCCAGGCTTTATTAAAGATACATTATGTAAGATTTAGATAAAAAGCTGGACATTTAAAAATACATGCAGCTAATTAAACATAAATATATTGAATATTGATTTATTCTGCGTGAAGGTATGAATGTTTAAAGTTTTAGTCAAGATGGTCTTGTCAAGTACCATTGTTACAATAATGAATAGTCTTGCTTATCCATTTTAACGCTAAATCATTAAATCGCACAGGTGTTGTAATCCATTTAATATCTGGAACATCAGATCGCCAACAGAGTTGATTATCTGCTTGTCATATTCTACAACAAGTATTTCTGAACATTTCATGCAGACCAAGGGCCTCAGTTGTAATTCTGCCAAAGCCCCAGTGGTGTTGCTCAAAGTGGTCATGACTGGCTAACAGGGGTAGGGCTATCTGATTAAAGTACAGATCCTATTTCGTTTCATTATATAGTTCAGCATTTCGTTTTAATTGTCTTTACTACATTAGTTTCTGGAAGAGTAGTTATATAACCTGCATTCTGGTTGGGCCAATGAAACAGTCTGTTGCGACGAGTTCTTGGCCTGCAGTGCATGGAACTGTGGGTATGTCACTAGAAAAATCAACACTGATTGGTTAATCAAATATCTGATGTCATAGAGTCAAAAGCACCTTTAATGACCAATGATGTTACCTCCCACTATAACTTGTCAGATTTCCATGTATTGGAGGCCATCGAAAGTATAAAAATGAAAAAGAAGTATAAATTTTTAATTTAATCAGATTGAGGGGTAAGGGGGATGCAAAACATTCCTTACGTGTTTCAGAAGGGGTACATTGTAGAACTGGATAATAACATCTTTAGTTAACCTAATTCAGTAATTTATAAATATGGTTTTCAGATTATCCTGAGTATATGGGACGCAGGTTATGATCTTTTCTGTGCTAAATATAATGGAAACAGTCGACATGGTGCCAAAGAATTAAGGGTAAGCATGCAATATTTCTTTTGTAATAAATAGTGATAAGCCAACAGTTATCGGCTATTGACCCATGTGCCATGCCCGTATGATTGGGTAACTGGTCTTTTACATGTATGCTACCAATATTATCCATTGTTTGTCTCTTAGAAATAAATAAGAGTGAAGTACTGTATGTGTATGTAAACTTTGTGTAATTTTTCAATATTTGTCTATGATGTATATTATGTCAGAATACGTGTATGTAAATATGATCAGATGAATGCCAATTCAACACTTCCGGTAAACCATATCTTCTGGCATCGTGTTGCTGGTACATGGACAATCAGTTTCAACATCAGTAATATAAGAAAGAAAAAGATGTTACACAAGAATATATGATTAATGTCAGTTAAATACTTTTGAAGCTTTACACAAACAGTGAAGACATAGAAACTAAACATTTCAGATGAATCCTTTATAGTTTACTCATTTGAAAATAATTTTTTTATAAAGCTCTATAAAACAGTGAGTGGAGGTTTTAATGCTGGAGGCCGTTAATTTACATTTTACAGTGTCGTGATTCGTGATTATCATCGGTATTAGAAGATATTACAACAGAAAGTACATGTATCTGATATCAATATAATCTACATGACTGACAAAATAATGATCAATCTTTGCAGGAGTTATAAATAAAACTTTTAATGACTTTTTTAATCCATGCATAATTTGTGAAATGAGAATGTAATAAAATTGAAAGCAAATTCGTATGAATAGTTGAAACTTGGTCATTCATAATCCAGTTGTTTAAGGAGATTGTACTATTCAAGGATTATTATTATTATTATATTATTCACATATATAACAGCAGAGGTCAATGATACTTAACTTTATTACATTGTACCTTAGACTCTTTGCCAATCTACATAAAAAATAATAACATACATGTAAGTTGATAAAGTAGTTTATCAGATTTAAGTTTGTTAATTGGGATAATGTATTAACAGGTTAATAAGTGTGACACAGTTACCTTTGGTAGTGTTTATTTATCAAGGTATAACAATATATATAATATAAATGTAGATTGCTTATTCAGTGACCTTAAACAGGTGTTGAATTTGCTAGCCTAATCATTTATGAAAATAAATTATGTAAAATTTACTAAAAGGTAAATAAATTGAAGTATAAAAGACTTTCTGTGAACAGATGTTGGAATAAATGTATTGTCGTTTTAAAATAAGCATGGTTATATATAGTCAGATGATATATGCTACAGCAGTTTCGGGACACTGACAAATGACAATGACAAAAAGTAAAGAAACCTACTATATGTTCCACTAATGGGTTTTGTCAAGGTTCAGAGCTGTAATTTTTGCTCAAATATATTTAAAGGGATATGAGATATTGTACTATTGATTTCAAGCTAACCAGTACAATGAATATAATAACCAATATATCACCTTAAATTCAAATTATTACCATCTTTCAAATGCTTTGACATGAGAATTAATTAGTCTAAATTTGACACTAATAATACAAGCCGCATTGTAAAACAGATATTAGTTATGTTATCAAGACAAAATTTACATGCATGACAGAGTTAGTAAAAATATTTTGATTCACCAGACACCAATTTTGGCACAAACTGACAAATTGCTGGTGAGATTGGGCTTAATATACATGTAGTCAAACCTACTGATGTCATGTTTTAATATGTCCTATTTAGAGTGTTAACACCTGAAGGGATAGACTTTTGTCTCCATGGCAAATAACATTGTTAGACACACATGTAATGTCTGTCAGTATCCCTTTTGAAAGTGATGATGTAATTGATGTGAACAATCATGTCATTATAGTCAGCTCAATAGCCCAAGTGATTTAGCTGTCATAATGAGTTGTCCTCTCTTAATTAACAGAAACAATCAAAGAGGATAATAGAGCTTAGACTTACATCCAGTTGATAATGTATTTAATAGGTTCTTGTCTCTTTGGCCCAGGGGCGGGGAGGGGGATAGCCGAATGGTTAGCATGTGCGCTCTGTATCATAAGGCCTGTCATTGAGTCAACTGGCGTGGTTTCGAATCCCCGGTTGTACATGACAAGGAGTAGGGTTGCATGTCCAACCTCGTGGGTTTTCTCCGGGTCCCAAAATGACCTAGTTTGTGTGGAGTGGACGTTAAACCCCATTTCTCTCTCTCTCTTTGGCCAAAGACTGGACTAAGTAACATAAATCAGATCATTGGCAATATTTCAAAATTGATTGACTCTATATTTTTATAAATGTTTTGTTCATCCATATGACAATATTGTGAGAAATAAAAATAAAACAAAGCGTAGGATCTTTACTACAATATGGTGGGAAATAAAACATTGTTCACTGAGCACGTTTTGCACACGGTGTGTAGAGAAGGGTTGTTGCAGGGGAAATAAAAATAATAGCTTTTGGAGTGAACGATAAATAGAATACAGAAGAAAATGTTGCAGCCCTCCTTTCTATCCTGTAAGAATAATGCTACAAATTACATGAACTCAACCCCTTTCATTAGTTTTTTCATTGTATTTTAATATTATACATTAACAGGTCGCCAGAGTATTATGGTGGTATTTTATATCTAAAGCCATTGAATTAATGGACACAGTTCTAATGGTTTTACGGAAAAAGTTTGATCAGATCTCCTTCTTGCATGTGTTTCACCATGCCTCCATGTTAAATATATGGTGGTGGGTGATGATGTTCATACCCGGTGGTCAATGTAAGTATGGTGGCATCAATACATACAAGTATTGTGCATAAAAAATTATTGTTAAAGTCCTGGCTGGTATCTCATTCACATAAACTTAAAGTAAAATATTTCAAGGATGCTGCTGCCTTTTCATTCGATCTTATCCAATGAAAAGCCTGCATTCTTAAATATTTTTGCATAAGTGTTCATGAATAAGGCAGTGTGGCAGTGATTAAGTAAAAATGTCCCTACTGTTTTGCCAAACAAAAATAAACAAATGGAGTTTTTCTTAGTTAAATTACCCCATAAATTATAGCCATGTCAACAAAGTATTAGATCAGTTTAGCACTCTTGGGGGTATTCTATTTTGACTTAATTCTATTTATATATTCTGCGACATAAAATGTTATTTTTGATCATTATTTTTACAGCATGGTTTGGTAGTATGTTGAATTGTTTGGTACATATAGTTATGTATGCGTACTATACTCTCTCAGCTATTCCTTACTTTAAAGGCAAACTTTGGTGGAAAAAATACATCACTAAGTTCCAACTCGTAAGTAGTTCTACATATAAATAGTATTAAATTGGTTGTGGTCTAACTGAACTGATATAGAAAGGTATACAGGGAGTTCAGCTTTAGATATAAATGAAAAGGGGGTTTAACTTCCCACTGTTCTGCATCGACTGGGCTAATGAAGACGGGTCATTTAGATATAAGTTTAAACTTAAAGTAGCTAAGTCTCTAACTCAATATCATCCAAAGTCTTCGACATTGAAAACACAAATTATTTGTCAATTTAAATCAACATTGATGTTTTGATCTCGCCGGGGAAAAGATGGGTGTCTGATATCCAATATTTAAGACAAAATAAACGTTTTACCATTGGTACACAAATTTTGTGAACCATAATGTGTTTCCGTGCCATTTGTAACAAAGGACTTGAAGAGTGAGACTAGACATATTCCACAAGTCATGTCAAACGGTGACGCCATATTCTTATCTGGAGAGCATGCGCAATAAACAATTTCTGTGTAGACTAGAATAACCAAACGCTACAGATTGCCATTTGATTGCATCAATTGAACACTGACTTTTCAATTTACAGTCACAGACAAAATAAATCCATAGTGGGAAACCATTTAAACATATGAACCTTTTATAGAATTGTATATATTTTTGGCAAAAGCTGTCCACTGGTGGTTTGAGTCAGAAAAAGTGATGAAGCCACTTGAATGGAATAATAACCATTCAGATGCTATTTCTACAAGTTTCATAAGACAGTAACATGAGAAAAAACTTCTTTCCTTGAAATATAATGTATTTTTATTTTAAATATCCTTATGTTTAAATTTACTGCTTAATTATTTGTTTTTTGTATTTCTAGATACAGTTTGTAATTACATTTAGTCATACATTCAACTCATTATACTTTACAACTTGTGACTTCCCTCGTTGGGGCCAGAATCTACTTGCTAGTTACATGGTTTTCATGATCATCCTGTTTGGCAATTTCTACATTCAAGCCTACATCAGACGTAAGCGATTAGGATATAAAAAAGAGGACACAAAAAGGCGAAACGGACTTTCGACAAACGGCTATGTCAATCATGCTGGCGGTGATAATAATGGACACATACATTCCAAAGGGGAATAACTTGGAAGAAATATAGGTTTACTAATATTATTTTGTATGAATTATAGTATGAAAACAGATTGTATGTGTGGAATATGATATATTTATTACTTGTAGCTAGATAATAATAATAGCTCCAGTGATCTTCAGTATGTATGACTTGATATCTAGAGATGGATACTCCCTTCTAGGCCTGAAAAAAATTGAGCTAAAAATAATCATTATCCCTATCATTGAACAAATTGCGTGAAGCGTGGGTACATAAAATCAAAATCACGTTACATCAAGATTTCACACGCAAAGAACAGTTTCCAAATTTTGTAAACGTTGATGGATTGGAGTTTGGATCTAAATAAGTGTAGATTAGAATTGACTATGCCCACACATGTTCTTAAACTTCACTGACAGACCTGTAGAGTTACTGTTAAAAAAATATTGTTCAATAAATTAGTTCAAGCATATTATATAGAATAGTTTGCTCAATTTCTAAAAGAGAGGTACATGCTTGTTCAATATAAGATAGGACCTCATACTTAACATAATTAGAAATCTTGCTGACCCTGTTCTCATCATAGGTACCAAGTATCTTTTGATGTAGTTGATGTTTGAAATAAAATTTATACATAAATATATTTTTATAAATACACCCATGACCAGCTATAAGACAGTTTGCTTTGGAGTGGGTTTCAATATAAGACATGTAACCAGACTCTCTATATAGTGGGTGTAATCAGTAGTCCGCCAACAGGAGCAGCATTACATTTTGTTGCTTGCTAAAGTAGCCCACAAATTGTATTTTAGAAATGTATTTTCTAAAATGACGGGTTAATTTGATATTGATCCCATTATCTTTATATCGTTTTTAATTTCTGGGCAGTTTTGATGAAAATTGGTATTAAGATCTAAAGATAAAGGAAATGACTATCTTCGAAAAATAAAACATATATGGTAAACTTGATAAATAATTCCTTCCGGCCTAACTGCAATTCTTCAAAAACAAATTGTGATTAACCCTTGCGGCATAATTTTAAATTAGTAAAGATTTGTTCCCACATTTTTATTCAAGATTTATTTTGTGTGTGGCATAGTTTTTTTTTTTCCTGAATAATAATATTTTCCCTTGAAAAAAATATGAATAATATCATGTATATTTTAATTGCACATTAGCACATGATTAACATAGGTTTGAATGGTTAAATTTCTTTGTGCTTCTTTATGGTTGATTAAATTTATTTGTGCTTCTTTCTTTTATTCTCGTTTCAACTTGATTCATTAAATTACTATGACCTTCAGAAGCATAAGAGAGCTTGTCAAAATTAGATTGCCAAATCATGTGTCACAGACTTTAATTCTTTATTTGAGCATTTAGATTTTTGAATGTTTAAGTTTATTATCTATTATTGTTGAACATATCTTTGGGTTTTTTTAATATGGTTCTTTTGTAGTAATCTTTTTTTTCATCTAAATATATCTTAAGTTATATGTAGTGATACAATTGTTTGCTTGTGCCTATTTATATTTATTATGTGTATTTGCACATATACTTTTAGGATCCCTCTTGTTTATTAAGGGTGACAACGTACACAGAACCACAAACTGTCTTTGTATTTGGTTCCAACTTCCAAAGATACATAATAATGTTATGCACCCTGATACCACCGTTAATTAATATCAAAGTAGTGCATTTGGGCTGTTAAATCTGGTCATATCAAACTTGGGAGTCTGAGAGTTTAATAGATATAGTTTTAAAAGCCAATTTACAGCACTAAATGTGTTGGGATTTATTAGATGTTGTCAAAATAAAATTATAAATACATGTACTTAAAGTAGCTAATAAGTGTCTAACTCAATATCATCCAAAGTCTTTGATATTGAAAATACAAATTATTTGTCAGTTTAAATCTACATTGATGGGCTTCTGAATCCAATATTTAAGACAAAATATACATTTTACCATTGGTACATGAATAGTGTACCATGATGCGTTTCAGCGCCATTTGTAACAAGGGACTCAAAGAACGAGGCTAGACATATTCCACAAGTCATGTCAAACGGTGACGCCATATTCTTATCTGGAGAGCATGCGCAATAAATACTATCAGTGTAGACTGGAATTACCAGACGCTAGACTCTAGCATCAAGAGGTTGTCAGTTGATTGAGACTTCTGGCGTATTTCGCCAAACATATCTTATTTGAAATTATAGTAAAAAAAACGGAAATAAGTGAATGTAAATCAGTTTATATACATTCATATTACATTATATGCATTTCGACCCATTTGTGTCAATTCCTAGGTCCCAAATATTAGCGATTTAGCCCCTTTAAAACAAATGCAAAAATTAAGTAATTCTAGAATACTGCATATGGCTTGTTATAGATTTTGTTTGAATTTGTTTTCATCTTGTATTGTTTGTTATATATCATTATTATATGTTTATTGTAATAATAGTTACTTCGTTATATTAATACATCATAGTTCTAGAATATTTCATTGCTCTAAATAATATATTTCTATTTAATTTAGATGCATTGAAATAAAAACCAAATGAATAAGTAGCCATCATAGGGCATACAAAATATATATTTTTAAAATTTGGTTACCCTTTTTATGAAAAGTAATAAAATTTTAACATAACATTGTTTTGACAGTTACCTGTATTTAATTATACATGCCACCAATTCAAAAACCAGGACCCAAATTCAAGAGAATAAAAGTAAGAAATCTTCACAAACATGTTGAGATTTGTCACCTGAACATGGAACCGTTGAATTTAGATCCTTCTTTAGTCCATTCCATTCTCAGTGGAACATAGGGCCTTCAAATTTGGACCAGTAATGGTTAGTATAAAACTTTAGATTTTGAGTTGTTTGGGTGGTTTCATCTTTATTTTGTCTCCATATTCTGGAGACTAGTTGCATAGTAGTTTGCAAAAATGTGTAAAAAAGACCCAGCAAATCTAAGTATTGGTTTACTAACATTTTTAAGAATTTGGTGTAAAAAATATAATCCTGGAATGTGATTATGCTGCAGTTTTAAAATGTTGACTGAATTTTTATGAACAATTGTAATGTGTGTTCTAGCCTTAAGCAGAGGTGATGTTGCATAGAATATTTCTATTTGAACAAATCTTTAATACCGGTTATAATATTCCAATAGTGTGATACTATGAATTCCATTGCTGTATTAATAAATATGTCTTTATTTACATTTAGATACCCGGTATATTGTATATTGCAGTGTGTGGAAATATATTTATTATATCTATGTTACTTTTGTTATACCTTTTTAATATGTAATTTCCCACTGTTTATGCTTAATCAAAACAAATAGATTTTTCTGTGATTTAGGTAAGGTTGTGCCTACCTTTTAGCATATTGAATAGTCTTTTGTACAAGAAATACATTTAGTTTTTATACTGTGATTGCATAAAACAGAATAGGAACAAATCACAGAGAAAACAAAATATTGGAAAAGAGTCCAGATTACATTCAGTAATAATATAGTAAGATAAGATTTATTGTTGGATGTTTTATACCACTGGCGCCAGATTAAAAATTCCTATTGTAGCGATATAACAACTATCTTATTATGGTTTTATAGATAACTTGCTATGTACATTATGAAGTTTGTCTCCATTTTTGTAACATTCGTGGGGGGTTGGATAGCCGAATGGTTAGCATGTGCGTGCTGTATCATAAGGCCTGTCTTTGAGTCAACTGGCGTGGATTCGAATCCCCGGTTGTACGTGACAAGGAGTAGGGTCGCCTGTCCAACCTCGAGCGTTTTCTCCGGGTCCTCCCGTTTCCTCCCACTGCTAAAGACCCCTACGCGCAAGCAAATTATTGAAATAACATTAAACCATATGTTAGTCCCGAAATGACCTAGTTTGTGTTGAGTGGACTTTAAACCCAATTTCTCTCTCTCTCTTTTGTAACATTCATAATAATACAATAATCATTAATTGTCAATTAAGAAGTTATTCTTAACTTGCTTTCTTTCTGAAACATCTTGTGCAAGACAGATAAGTGTTATGATTCAAGTTTGTAATGAGGATTTTATTGCCTTGGACACCCTGGGAACCATGTTCTGTTATTGCAGACAAAACTGTATTGTCAATTTCATCATTCAATACTGCACGAAGTACAATGTAAATGGCACCATTAAATTTCTTGTTAAAAATGGTTATTTTCAAGGTTTTTTTAAAATTTATACAATTATACATGTAAATTCCTATTACGAATTCACCCACAAACAAGCAAACAAACTTACTTCTCTTTTATATGTAGATATAATATTATGATATTTTATTCTGGTGCAAATGCTACAATGTACCTAAAACTTAAGCAATTGTGTTCACAAGAAATGCCTGTTTATATTATATACATGTAGTCTTGAGAGCCTACACCCTTTGTTTTTCCCTATATAGCTGTGTGCTATCAACAAACTCATATTTATATATTTTACTTAAAGATTTATAAAATGTTATATTATTATATTATAATAAGGATTGTTTGCTTTAATTTTCAAGAAATATATATATGTATAAAAATCAATTAAAACTTTATAAATCTTAAAGGCTATTATATATCCACTGCAACCTCAACTGCAATACTAGAGAGTAAAACAAAGGAAACTGATTACCAAACCTAATTTATAAAATTGCTTTTCCGGATTGATGCAGTTGCCTTTGTCTTGTGGACATTCTGCCTCCTAAGCAGCATATTGGTTTATTTTGCTTACCTGTAGCTGATAGTTGTAACAGGTTAAATGTTATATTAGATTTTTGTCAAAATAAATATTGTTTTCTAATACTTACTGTTTGCTGACTCAGATTGTATTTATATTAAAAATGATATCTAAAATGCATTTTTGATTTCCAACATAAAAATTTTATGTATATATTTGAAATTTTATTGAGACATTCTTGTGCCTATCATTTCAAAAGCATGCAGTATGGTATGCAAATATTGTCATATACTCCTTTACTAAACCAAGTTATATTATTAAGGAATAGTGGTCTGAAGCCTTCTTGAGTTCTTTGTGTTAATTGAGTTACTTCCCTTGATTAATAAAAGGCCTTGGTCCTAGATGGAATTCTGGGATGGAGTGAAATGGAAGATGGCTGTTTTTAATTAGCTCTTCTGATTGTCATAAACAATCCAGGCCATCTTGTGGCCTATACACCCAAATACCACATGGTGGAGATGCCAAACTCCCATTTCTAGTATGTAGAATGTGAAGAACTAGTTTTCAAGTGATATTTTTGATTTGTTGCCAAGAATTGACTTGTGATGTGAGGAGCATGTTTTGAGATTTGGACTCTAGTTTGTGGAGCACATTCTCCCATCAGTCAACAGATTTTGGGAATCTACTTTATTCTGAGGAGTAAACTTTCATCAGAAGTAGACCTAGTGAGGCCTGATTTAACTCCATTTGTGTGAAGTTAGTCATTCAGCAGATGGCTGTTTTTAATTAGCTCTTCTGATTGTCATAAACAATCCAGGCCATCTTGTGGCCTATACACTCCAATACGCCAACATTTTCCATGAGTAGGATGGAGAATGGGGAAAATTGATAGACCTTATCCTCTTATTGTCCTAATGCTTCACATCAAACTTGAAAAAAATCCCTTAAAAACTATGGCCTCTGTCATGTTCACAAAGTTCTTGGAAAAAGAAGTGGGGGTCTCAGACAGACCAACAGATATTGATGATTGGTTACTAAGCCAAATGATGCAATAGGAATTTTCCAACCATTAGTGTTCTAGACAATAGAAGTTATCCTTGGCCTTAGACCCCACCTGTTAATGTCACAATATTTCATAACTAATTTAATATGCATTTTCAAATAAACTCATACCATAGCTAATATTTTGACAATCGTGAATAATTAGTCAAGGCCATATTATTATTATACAATATATAATATACATTTTTGTTCTTTAGCACAAATCTTGCCAGGATAGTACTACACTTGTTAGGAATGGTGATGCCACAGTTGACATCTAAAGTATGCTTAGTCATTTGAATGGTTCGACATATGGATTCGTAATGGGGTGTGAAAGATACCGCTGTATATACATAAAAATGAAATGATGGTTAACGTCCTACTGTTCAGCTCTGACTGGGCTAATGAAGACCGGCATATACCATACAGTGTGCCAATGTATACACAGGACCTCTGTTTTTCATACAATCCGAATGACTAGACAGATGTTCTTGTCAGACCCTCCATCCTTCACCACTGACATGTGGAAACCATGTGGGAAAATCCTGATGAACTTTCTCGGCCAATGCAGGGATCAAACACGCGACCTCCAGGCTAGTGAGCCCAGTGTCATATCCACTTAGCCAGCGTGGCACCCCCTATATACATCTATATATATATATATTTGTGACTGTCGTTTGTCTGTTCGGGGTTGGCGGCTACACTGGGTCTGCCCCGAGTCTGAAATTTGGGGAATAGGGGTAGCTCGGACCGGGGAGTAACATAGGCCAGATGGCGTTAGTCCACCACTTCCGGTTTCGGAGTTATGACCCCCGAGCGAAGCCGGTCTGTTCGGGGTTGGCGGCTACACTAGGTCTGCCCCGAGTCTGAAATTTGAGGTATAGGTTTAGCTCGGAGTAACATAGGCCAGGTGGCGTTAGTCTACCACTTCCGGTTTCGGAGTTCTAACCCACGAGCGAAGCCGGGTATCTGTCTGTTCAGGGTTGGCGGCTACACTAGGTCTGCCCCGAGTCTGAAATTTGGGGTATATGGGTAGCTCGGACCGGGGAGTAAGATAGGCCAGGTGGAGTTAGTCTACAACTTCCGGTTTCTGAGTTATGACCCCCGAGCGAAGCCGGTCTGTTCGGGGTTGGCGGCTACACTAGGTCTGCCCCGAGTCTGAAATTTGGGGTATAGGGGTAGCTCGGACCGGGGAGTAACATAGGCCAGGTGGCGTTAGTCTACCACTTCCGGTTTCGGAGTTATGACCCCCGAGCAAAGCCGGGTATCCTGCTAGTAAATAATAAGAGGAACATAATATATATTTATTAATTCAGGTGACATCTTGCAAGATAAGAAAAAAACATTGGCAGGAGGAATAACTGATATTTTGGAAAAATTATATTCTTCCCTTTTGCATTACATAACCAATTCATTTTGTTATTATAATTTATTAGCATTTACGATAAATTGTACAGATATATACATTAAAGATTCATATTAACACAATTCATAAATAATAATAAAAAAAATCACTATATACAAAATATATAACAAAATTTTAACTCTTAACATTATTATTGCACAAAAAAATTTAGACTTCATATAATTTCAATCGTACAAGAAGGAATACTGTAAAACAAGAAACTGAAAATATTCTGACCTGTTGTTATGTCATGATTAATGTTAAAACATTTTTGAGACACTTTAATCAACATATTACATATTAGATGGGTGTTTTTGCACCAGTAGGTGTGGAATGTCAGCCTCCAGGGTAAAAATTCTAGATTTGCAATGGCAATTTTAAAGTCTAGTGTAATATTTAACTGCTGCACTATGGAATTTTATTACGGGTAGCTTACACTAGTAAATATCTTTGTGCTGTATATAATTTAATTGTTGTCCGATGTTTAGCTGACTGGTACCGCTGCCAATGCTTCTATTCCAAAAACTGATTCAAAATGTTTGACATAATGTTCACAATGTTCACCTGCAATCAAAATAAAAATTACATTATTATTCACTATTTCTGAGCAACAATGGAATGAATACAAATATGTTAATTAGAGTTCAGCCAAATTAAAAAAAAGAGAGCATTCTATTTAAATGTAAATGAAACATAAATGTCTTGTCTACATACCCTGGTGTGGTACCATCAAAAAACCACAAAATTATGTTATTAAAATAAAAAAATTTTCTCAGAGAATCAACATTTTGGATTGACAATTCACGATTTATTTCATCAAATGATTTTAAGTCGTAATAGTTCTAATGTTACCAAACAATTAAAATACCTTGTTGAAATCTTGGATTAGAGCGCAGTCGAAGATTTCTAGCTTCAAAGAACTTAAACACAGTATAAAACAGCATGTCATCACTTGTATTTAATCCAGCTTCTAGAAATTTACGTGATGAAACTGTATCTACAATTCCTACACTTCTAATAAACCTAAAATATATATACATGAAGGAAATGAAATGAAATGAAATGGGGTTTAACGTCCTACTGTTCTGCTAGTAACCTGGGCTAATGAAGACGGGCATACCCATACAGTGTGTATGAGGGAAATTTTGCCCGGGCTACGGCCTACTCTTATATCGAATTCCAACTGTCAAGGGATCTTTTACGTGCACGCCAATGTGTACACGGGACCTTGGTTTTTCGTCCCATCCGAACGACTAGACAGCTGTCCTTGTCAGGCCTTCCATCCTGCATCACTGACAAGGGGAAACCACACCGGAAAATCTGAATGAACTTTCTCGGCCAATGCAGGGATCGAGGCTAACGAGCCAGCATCTTACCCACTTAGCCATGTGATCCCCCGTATACATGAAGAGTTCTTAGCCCAGTTAGAACTGAAAAGTAGGACATTAAAGCAGTTAAACCCCATTTAATTTCATAAGGGTTCAAATTCCACACTAGATTAATCATAGAACCTGATACGCACAAAAGATTTTTAAATATGTATATGTAAATCTCAATAAATTGTGTTATTCTCAAATAAATCAAAGATATTGTCTCATTTAAATGAAAGACTCCTTTTAAAAGTATTGAAAAATACCTTAATGCTGGAAGTAATTGTTGTTTTGATAGAAGAACTTCTATTATTTCTTCATTGGCTGTCTGTAGTCTCTGAAAATATGAACAATAGTCAACAACAGGGATACATCAGTCAGGAATCTTCAGCCTTTTTGTAACACTGTTGAAAAGACCTTGTGCATATTGCATACTTATACACTAGATTTCCTTCCCACAAACTTCTTTCAAATAAACATTGAAAAGTGAAGTGTTTTATTTTGGGTTGATACTAATATTGCCTTTCCATAATTGAAGGGCTGGGTTGAATGAAGGCATGGAAATTAGGGGCCGCAGCCAGAGGCCTCGTACAGCTGGAGGGCCTCTAGAGATTATGTAACAAGTTACTTGATTTGCAAATGCTGACTCAATGTAAGAATATTCTATATTATTTGTTGACAAAAAAGTTAAATTCATATTGCAGTAAACATACTATCAATGTACTTTATACAAGAGGTGGAAGATGGGCAAAAATTTCCTAAAATCATAACACAAAACTTGACTCTATGGTCTCACGGTACCTATTGTCCAGGGACCTACAATATCTTAGTCCAGCCCTGGGAAAGGGGGAAAGACTTCTGTTAACAAGTTTTCATTTCAGTTGTAACATTAAAAATTTTAATGACTGTAGTGTACTGATCATTATGACATGGAGTTTCGGACTGGACATTTATGAAATATTAACATAAATTATGAGAAGAGAGGTAGCCTATATTATATAATACATGTATTACCTTTAACATATCTAGAGCTAGTTGGTGTGCTGGTTGATAAACACTCTCTAATGATAACATTAAACAAGCCTGAATAATATAAACATTACACAACTACCAGTATAACCTATTTCAATACTTGCAAATATATTAACACAAATATCATATTTGTTACTTGATGTAAGTTTCATTGTTTTCAGGAATGAAAATAATAGACATTAAAGCATGGGTAGAATTCTCAGTCTATAGTCTGAAATTTAAAATGTGCCTAAATTAACACCCCTAGTCTAGTTACTTTTACTTTGCATTGAAGATCAGGGCTGTTACACCAAAATTTTACCAGCCAGTCATTTTTTTTTTCAGATTGGAAAAACAGTTTTTTTAACAGGACACTCTGCCCTGTATCTAATCAGGTGTTATTTCTGAAAAAAAACATCCACGGCGTGTGTTTTAAATGATTAGATAAAATGGTGTAAAATACATGACAAGCTGTTGACTTACAAGTGGTTTACTATCACTGAGTACATGATACTGTAAAAATTGATGTAGCTGATAAAAACAGTTATTATGTACCAATATATTTATTATTAATTCATACAGATAATGCTGAAATAAATAGAAAACAGTCAATTCATTTCAAATTCAGTGATATTGAAAGATTAACTACAAAAAATGTTCAATGAAATTAACATCCAGGGCATAAGCAGGACCTGTACATACCATTTGTACAATCTATTCAGATAACTATATAAATCTATTATATATCTCATATAAAAATCAGTTTCAATCACTGCTTGTGTATTTTAAAGGGAGCCACAGTAGCTAAGTGGGTAAGACGTTGGCACGCTAGCCTGGAGGTCGAGTGTTTGATTCCTGCATTGGCTGAGAAAGTTCATCTGGATTTTCCGATGTGGATTCCCCTTGTCAGTGGTGCAGGACGGAGGGCCTGACAAACCAAGGTCTCATGTATACATTGGCATGCACGTAAAAGATCCCATGACAGTTGGAATTCGATATAAGAGTAGGTCATAGTGCCGCTGCCCGGGCAAATTTCCCTCATAGCACACTGTATGGCGTATGCTTGTCTTCATTAGCCCAGTATAGGAGCAGAACAAATAAACATGGTGCAGATTTTATTTTCAACTTTCACATGAACTTGTGGGCACCACATATAAAAAGAATATGGTTAATATGTTATCTAAGAAATGCAGTTAACAAGTTTGAATCCATCTTGAACAACCCCATGGTTTACAGTGAGCTTTGTAAGAAAAAGTAATGAAATGGAGTTTAACGTCCTACTGTTCTGCTCTGACTGGGTTAAAGAATACTGGAATACAGCATACAGTGTGCTATGAGAGAAATTTTGCCCGGAGAGTGGTGCTACAGTCCACTCTTATTGAATTCCAAGGTATCTTTTATGTGCATGCCAAAGTGTACACATGATCTCGGTTTTTCGTACCATTTGTCCTTATCAGGCCCTCCATCCTGCACCACTGACAAGGAGGAACCGTGCCGAAAAATCAAGAGCAATTTTCTTCGGCCATCATTTAGTAACACACATACATAACAATGATAAATGTTCTAGTTTCTGTAAATGATTGTGATGAGAGAAGGGCTATATGTAAAAGAAAGTATCATTACCTGTACAGATATATTAAACTGGTTTAATGATCTAATATATTCTATTAAAACAGCCACCATAAACTTATATTTGATATCCTGAAAACAATATATGATATAAATTCTCTTAAACATAATATCAGTAGATAGAACTAGCTGAAACATTTAGTCTAGCTGAAAGAGAGAGAGAGAGAGAGAAATGGGATTTAATGTCCACTTGACACAGACTAGGTCATTTCGGGACTAACATATGGTTTAATTTTACTTCAATAATTCGCTTGCGCATAGGGGTCTTTAGCAGTGGGAGGAAACTGGAGGACCCGGAGAAAACCCACGAGGTTGGACAGGCGACCCCACTCCTTGTCACGTACAACCGGGGATTCGAAACCACGCCAGTCGACTCAATGACAGACTTTATGATACAGCGCGCACGCTAACCATTCAGCCATCCAACCCCCCCAGTCTAGCTGAAGGTTGCCCTTAAAAATTGTGACCTTCAATACACAATTGTGATCTTCAACACACAATCATGACCTATAATACACTATTATGACCTTTAATACACAATCTTGACTTTACTGCTACAAACTGAGATAATTGCATATTATAGTTCTTTTTTCTTTAATACTTTCACCTGGACTGTGTTATTACAAACACAAGACACTGAATCCTACTCTTACAAAAAAACTTAAGAAAATACTTAGAAACAAAAAGTTATAACCTTTGACCTACCTTGCATTCTTCATATACAGAGAAAACATGAGTGTACATATCTGACTGATCGATTATAACTTTCTTTTTTAATCCATTAAAAACACTCTGTGGCACTTCACCATTCTACAATATTAATTTCAAAAAGAAAACACTAGTCATTTCAATTACACTGTTACACCACGTTTATCAATATTACAAGATAATACTTATACTTATGTCACACTCACAGATATTTTACTCAAGAAATAAATGAATAAAACAGAATGTGGTAGTACAATGTGTTGCTCTAAATGGAATAGGTTTCTCTTAATATATAAGTCTTGATTTAAATTCATGTACATGTAAAAATGAGGTAAAATGAATGAAATCAGGTTTATTGAATGTCCTACTTTTCTGCACCGACTGGGCTAATGAAGATGGGTGTACACCATACAGTATGCCAAGAGGGAAATTTTACCTGACCAGCAGTGCTACGGCCTATTCCTATTTCGAATTCCAACTGTCATGGGTTCTTTTACGTGCACCCCAATGTGTACACGGGACCTCAGATTTTCATTCCCTTCAAACGACTATATGCTGCCCTCGCAAGGCTCTCCCCATCCTGTACGACTGACAAATGGAAACAAGGAACGTCTCGTCTTGAACCAACATCGGGATCAAACCACAGACAATCTGGTTAGAGAGCCTGCGCCTTCCTCACTAAACCACTGTGGCTCTTGTAAAAATGAGGTGAAATTAAATGAATTGTAGATGTTTTGCTTAGTATTTATTAACATATAATTACCATAGCCTGTGTTTCTGTATCTCTATAAGATTTATATACTGTATTTAACATATCATAAACTTGAGCTATAGTATGTAGACTGGCCTGATGTCCTGGTACTAACATCTGTTGACAGACAGATAATATCACCATTTTACTATCTCGACGATTTAATAAAAAACTTATTAGTACTGCCTGAAAATCAGAATGGTATAACATGTAGAGGTACAAAACATAAATAGAGAAATTGCAGTTGCATTAAACATACATTATGCAAGAGTTAAATCTGCCTATTTCAGGTCTTTCTTTAGGCCTTAAATGTTATCTAAATTATTAATTAGACATTAATTAACCTATCCAGGCCATAATCAACTCTGTATGGCAGCGCTAGCCTGCGATCTTTAGTGGATTGTAAGGTGATTTACTGCATAACTTTCCTTCTCGATTAAACGATTAAATGGATAATCGAGACTATGCTGTTTATCGTACTGACTTTAGTAATGATGACCAAGGCTTATAGGAACTTCAGTCGCTTAGTTCTCAGTTCATAGTGGATCAATTTGAATGCAATTTTCAACAAATTGCCTTTACATTATCTAGTTTTTAACTATTATAGTGAGAAATGCCAATGGTAGATAATCTTCCAAAAGATTTTGCCCAACACTTAAAGGTGACACTGACTTGTTTATATTAACTGCAGATGATGCAGAATGTTGTCAAGTTTTCAGCCATCATATCTATGTAAATACTTAATGAATTTAAACTTCTTTCAGACTGATCATATTATATTCCTTTAAGATATTCAACTTTCACAAAATCTTTCTAATAACAGTCAGAAGCTTTAAATATTGGATTATTACATACTTTGTCATAGATCATTGCCACCAATGGTTGTAGGGTTATTTTAATATACCATAAACAACCTAATATAAAATAATATACATGTAATTATTCCATTTATTATTTGTTTTACACAAGTTAAATTTTCATAATACAAGAAAAAATCTGTAATATCATGTTGCAGTAAAAAAATGTCAGACATTAGTTTAAACCACATTGTGTTCAAATTTGAGTTTTTATCAGATTATAAATGAAGAAACACTGCTTAAACATGAAAGAAAGTCAGTTCTGTTACATAAAATATTATTACCTACCCAATTTAGCATCTATAACAATATTTGGTTGAAAAACAATCCAGTTAGCAGAATCTAATCATAGTGATAAGGAAAAGTGTAAACAAATTAATACTTGACATTGACATTTAAATGTAGGTTGCCAGGTAACAAGACCCCCCCCCCCCCACCAACACAACTGAGATACGCAGAAAGACTGTGTACGAATCAAATCAATATTTGATATCAACATTTAAAGGTTGTCAGGTAACAAGTCATGCACATAAACACTGTGTGCTAAATCAATCTAATAATACCACAAGAGGGTTCACAACAATTATCAAACTGATCAAGGATCATAACTCCTATATTAAATACAGTTTCTTTGTATTATGAATATAAAACTGTGTATAAATTTTAAGTCAAGTGCAATATCAATGAAAGGAATCATCAACTTCTTCTTTTCATCAACATTAAACACTGTATATAAATTGCAAGTCAATGCCTTCAGCCCCAAGAGTGTCCACAAGGTTTTTCAAATTGATCAAGGACCATAACTGCAACAATATGCTTCTTTAGTGATAACTTTAGCCTCTAGCTAGAGCATTCACAACATATTATTATTAATAATACAAATTATTGTCAAAAGGATACAAAGATCACACAGATATTCCATTTTCTCTGTACCAGCTTGTACATTTATAGCTATAGAAAGAAAGTATAGAATAAATTTATGTAATAAATATATTAAACATTTTAATTACACAAGCCAATACATAATGCTAAACATTTAATATGATATAATGGTGGAAAATATGAGTGCATCTCCATATTAAGTAATTTTTTGATTAAACACACCAGTTCAGAATATAAACAAACATTACAAAAAATAATGACATTTCTACTTACTGGGTAACAGAAGTTTAAACGGTTTAATAGGAAGGGGAGACAACACAGGATAATGATATTTAAGAAATCCATCAGTTTCACTGCCTTGTTGTATGTCAAATATCACAGAGGTCTGAAAATAATAGATTTTATGTCATAATAATAATTTAATTCATTTGATGGTGCACCTAAAAATCCAATGCTACTTAAATTTAATGGGTCGTACACCCAAACAATATACATGTATTAAAACATACTACAGTTAGAAAAAGAGAGAGAGGGAAATGGGGTTTAATGTCCACTCGACATAAACTAGGTCATTTTCGGACTAATGTATTTTTCAATTGTATTTCAATAATTCGCTTGCACGTAGGGGTATTGAGCTGTGAAAACCTGTGGACCCAGAGAAAACCCAGAGGATTGGAGAGGTGACCCTACTCCTTGTCATGTACAAGCGGGAATCCAATGACTTCACTCAATGAGAGACCTAATGATCTAATGTGCATGTGTTAAACCATTTGGTCACCCATCCCCCTGCTAGACAAGTAAGTAGCTACATATTTTAAAATGTTAAAACTTCAATAAAAGGTTAACATTAAATAATTTAGTACTCATTGATTTACAATAAATTTATCCCAGGCATTATCAAAGAAAACATTCACATGCACTTTGAAATGGAATTATCTCATTCTCACAAACTATAACAACTTATAAATGTATACATATTGGGCAACACAGCACCAACTAAATAAGGAACACATGTCAGCTGAGTTTGATAACGTCACAATCTATGACAAAGTTTGAATATGTCACTTGGATTGAAATTCTGTCAATTCAGAACTTTCAATCAAGTAACCCCAACAAGTCAATAGAATATTAGTAATGCAAAGTTCTGACAATCACCAATTTAAGAATGGAACTACATGTATGCCAAGTATAATTGATGAAGAAAAGATTCTTTGAAGTATATGTAATAAATACACATACTGTCTCCGTGTCATGGATTACAAAATGAAATTCTGTTTGGACTGATTTATAGCTTTAACTAACCTTTGAAGCCTGATGATGAACCATGACTAAATTATCTATTATATTTATAGCAAATCTACCGCTCATATCTAACTTTAATACATCTGTTTTTCTAGCTGGACTCTCTCTAAAACAAATACACAAATAACTTGTCATATATATACATTACAATATATTAAAGCAGCTGATCATTATTTGCATTTTTCTGACAATATCTAATAAGAGCTCACATTTGTCGCTAAAATAGTTAAAAAAAAAAAAAAGCTAATGAAAAGGGAATATGTGACCTGTACTGGCAAATTGAGTCGCAATGAGGAAATTTTGAAAATTGAGTTATTGTTATTTTCACATTCCGAGTCTTAATACCTTCAAAATGATGTATAGTTGGTATGAGTCAGGCAAAAGGTGACTAAGCTATATCTGTTTGAAGTTGCCCAAGTCAGAAAAGGTAGTTTTGAAAAAAAAAAACAAGTTAAACATGTCGGTATGTTCAAATACGAAATCAAATAGCAACCATGCCATATATTTGTTATTTTTTTGTTTGATATTTCTCTCAGTGTTATAATTTGGAACAAAAGAGAATAGTCCATACATTAGTAATATAGGTTTTGTATATTATAACTTTTAAGGGAATAACTTTTGTTAATCTCACCAATTAATTAGTACCTTGGTGTTAGTGCTGAGGAGATTAAGATTGTTGATTGGGTAATCAAGTTCAGTTTCTTGATTATCAAGAAGCTTGAAAAGCTATACTTATGTTCTGTTTTCTTCGTCACACGACTCAATGAAAATAAGGTTTTGCGTGTACTGTTATTTTCAGGTACCGTAATGTTATCAGAATCTGAACCCCAGATGGAATGATAGAATGATGAACGCAGACATGATGCACGAATGCACCGCGTGGGGTGTCTGGGCTGAAAATATTTACGTATTGTATGGGTTTTAAAACTCATTTATATTCGTTAAAATTGGGGTTATCGGTAATATTTTGGCCATATTTACAAACTAGAAATTCACAGCATCACAACGATGACAAGTATTACTTAAGGAGATTGACCCGTCATTCCGCTGTGTGTGTCGAAAAATAACTAATTCGCTGAGAGCTTTAACAAATAATTGTATAATAACTTACTTCTGTAATTGGTAAAGAACTATCTCTGCTCCAACTGAAGCCCTTGGTTGATGTCGTAATACTACAATGTATAGCTGATTATATCTGAATGATAAAAATCATAGATTTAGACCAGAAAGCCATATTAATTTAAAGTATGTATGTTTTAGTTATTGTGTGTCTCTTCAGATCAGAAGAAAGAGTAATGGGGCGCTATTCAAATGATTCAGTGTTAATCTATTTAATATTATTAAGATAATATAAAGTTTTTGTTATTAATATATTATTTTTTTGTGCTCTACACTATCATGGAGAAATTGAGTTACTATCAGATTAAAGGAATTCATATAATGTTTGATTGCCTGTATTTTAAATCCATTGTTTTAAGAGACAATAAACATACATGCTAGCCAGTGTGACGTCACGTTCCAACAAACTGAGTTTTGCTGGTTTAGGAACAGACGGCAAATCAACTTCAAATTTAGGTAATCTGTTCAAGACCCCTGGCTGTAATATAAATAAAACATCTTACATAGGATTAGCTATTTGACATTTTCTAATGAAATCAGTCGCATCTTATTATAACACAAAGGCTTGGGAATTTTTAAATCCAATTAATTAATAAATTAGTTTATGATTCCACTACCTTCCCAAATATTGGAATTTAACAGATCCTGTGTTTTGATTATAGAGTTAAAATATCAAAGCTATGTATATTATGTAAACAAGGAACTTACCCTGACTTGAATAGGATATAAAGTATTACCCAAAGTTCCTGATGACAACAACAAGATACCATTCTCAGGCTAAAATCAACAAATATTGATTGATATATGATAAATAGAACACAGAAGAATTGCCTATAAATATTTATCAGAATACAAGCACTAGCTCCATTGAAGTTTTTTTTAGTGATCAAATGAGTGCTATACCTTAACCCACTGTAACAATGATCTGTATATGTAATATAAATCTGAGTGATTGACAGATTCTAAAGCCTAGCCAATCTTTCTAAAAATATTCATAGGTCCAAGAACATTTTATGCGTTATCTATATAGGCGAATGTGAAGAGCTAGCACAATGGTTTTCAACGATTTACAAAGTTCACTTGCTCTTGTAATTATAATTATTATTTTGTTATTCTGGTCGAGACATTCATCATACTATATTACCAGTATTTATTCTATTCAGCCCAGTTTGTGATGACATATAATAGATAAACATCAGGTAATGTTCACATTTATAATACTCTTCTTTTTAGTTTCTATTGTTTTCAATAAATTCATATCTACACTGTATCTGAATAATAATTTACTTTATATACATGTTTCTTCAAGTGTAACACATGTATCAGGTGCTACATACAGACATGGATTCAGATCAGAGAATATGTTGTGGTTATGTAGGGGTACATACCTTTTAGGTAAAGTTATATTACAAACTAGACTAACTTAGAAGAATTTAAATTTTATTCTACTCGTCGAATTTGTAGTTATGTGATACTGCTAAACAAGAAATTAAATAAAGTGTGTGTAAAACAAAGGCCAAAATATTCTTAAAATTCGTGATATACTAATTCGCAAAATTACCCAAAATAAGAAGAATAATCCAATCAAATTCAATGGTGTTTCACACTGACAATGTGTGAAACCCCAATAATATGAGAATTAACAGATGATGATAATGATGATGGTGTGAGAATTGGTATATATATATATATACATGTAAACTTACCATGCAAACAAACCAGTTCACCTGATGACTCACTGTTTTCAAACATTTTAACGTTCTTTTATCTGGAAAAATCTATACCCCCCAAAAATAATTCATCAATTGTGAAAGAAAAAATGAAAACAAATGGCAGTTATTCAGAGTCCAGAATGGTTACAAGGGGGAAGAGCGCCACAATTAGAATTTCATTTGTATTATGGGTAAAATGGTGATACATTGCGGACTGTAGAATATGAGCTGTATTGGCAAAATTAATTGAAACATGTTTTAGTGTGTTGGTTTTTTCTCCCTTAGATGTATGCAGAAAGCTTTCTTTGGATTTAATCCTTCGTGGTAGATGATCCGCAGGGGAATAGTTGATCCTGCATAGAGATATGAAATATTTACAAAATCTACAAATACTACTTCAATAAAATTAACCAATATTCGAAATTGAAAAAAAAAAAAAAATTTCCAGAATTCTGAAAATGCACCAACACTGTCCAAAAATTTATCCTTTCAACTGAATATTCAATTATATTTTAATAGTAATATCAGCATAAAACATAGGTAATCAGAATGATTTAATGGAATTTTTACCTGATATTGTTCAAGTCCATGATCAGTAATAAATATGATCTCTGTTGAACCTGTCCATATAAATCCTATAATCTGTGTTGATTTTCCCTACAAATACAATAATATCATACTTCATTTCATTGGAACAACTGTTTTAAGACTAAATTTTTTGTAATGCCAATAACTGCTATGGTTAGTAAGTTTATATCTATGTGTACTATCTTGGCTAACATAACAAAAATTTAGAAACAGTTTGCAGATAATTGATAATAATATGAACAAAATTTATAACTGAAGACATAAATTTAATAATAATTGTTTGAAACAATGACGAATACAATAGGAATAACTTCTTTTTAAAGTGATATTACCTTGCATGATTGTGAATATTCAAATTGATCTGTTGTCATATCTTCTAAAAAATTGATAAATTCCTGGGGAAAAAAACAATATATTTAAAAAACAAACTGTTCCATGTAAGATACGCACATTTTAAGTTCCATCAAACTCAGATAAAAATTGTGATCTCTATATGGTCCACAAGCTAAAAAACATGATTTGCCGTACTATCAGGGGCCATAATCCATGAAATCATGATCAATATTGAAAGGTACCGAGATCTTTGGGATATAAATCTATATTTCAAGTTTCATCAAAATTGGAAAAAAAACTGTGACCTCTAGACAGTTCACAACCTTGCTATTACATACTTTTACACTATTTGCATACAAGGGTGTAACTGTGATATATTTGAACAGTTTTTAAAATTGAGAACAAATTGTGACTTCTAGAGGGTTCCACAACCTAAAAACGTGATTTTTCGAACAATCAAGGGCCATAATCCAGGAAGTTACAGTCCGATACATGCCAGTTTTGAAAGGAACCAAGATAAACGGATCAATCAGATAAAATTGTGACCTGTAGAGAGTCCACAAACAAATTGTCGACAGACGGACGGAGGTGACGACAATATACGTTCACATGAAAATGTGGGCGTATAAAAATGTACCAAGTATTAAATGCTGGAACAACATTTAAAAAGTCAACAATTAATCTAAATTGCTTTACAACATTTTGTAGGCCCTACTTACCACAGATTTGGAGGATCTTTGGACAGCTAGAATTTTTTTATCTGGAGAAAACTTGATAGACATCACATCCCCTCTGTCTTCTAGTCTAAAAATGAATCCATTAGTACACGAAAAATTAAATTAGTCAATGAGGTTCAAAACACTGAGTGGCATTAATCGGTCTACTAAAGACAGGTGTGATATCATGCAGTGTACAATGAGGGAAATTTGGCCCTGACAATGGTACTATGGCCTATTCTTATTTCCATAACATGATGCCAATGTTCTCCAAAGAAACCTCTTTTTTTGTCCCATCCAGATGACTAAACACTTTTCTGACACTCTATCCAACACCATTGAACAGGAGAAACCAGGCTGGAAAAACCTGCGGAACTTTCTCGATCAACACCAGTATTGAACCAGCGACTTCCTGATTTGTGAACTAGCACTGTACTCACCAAGCAATTTTAGCTCCATCAGTGCAAGGCAAGCTCTTTTTTTTTAGATTTCTACCTTGGTTGCTTATTTATCATAATTGTAATACAATACATGTAATAGACACACTACATAGCATAAACCATACTTTACCTAGCCTGTATTACATTTTTATCATCTGGTCCTTTTACAACCACACCCATGGCTCCTCCTGATCGTACAGCAAATACCTAAATGAAGAACAAAATTATATTTCAGTTTAACCTAAATTGTTTTTGATAAAAAGTGTATTGTTCTTGAAAAAAACAGTCTTTTGAAGACTGGCCATTTATAAAAACAAAATAAAGTCATACTTAATAAAACTTTACACAGGAGTGGGGCAAATAGTCCTAGAAACTGCAATTCTAACTTTGATTAATCCTAAATGATAAAAAGCTAGTGTCACAAAAGCGCATGCCTAATATTCCACAGTCTTGGTTAATGAGATTCTGGAATGGTTGTATATAACTTGTATCTATTGTCTTGTTTAATTATCTTTCAAATCATTAAACAATGTATTTCAATTTCTAATGAACAACCAATTAAAATGATAATATAAATTGTTGGTGTTTCCACTAGACATACTCTGCCTTGAGCATGCCACTTTTCACTCCCTCATTATGTAGTTTATTCTAAGTAAATGTAGATTTTTGAAAGATGAGAGTTGAAAAGGGTACCTGTTTATTGGCATCGTCAAAGAAAACACTGTTGGCTTTACCTACAGGTTCAAATCTGATAGGGTTTGGACAGAGTTCAATATAATGGGTGCTGATCTCTTGTGATGCCATTACAAAGGTTTAATTTCCTGTAATAAATCCAAATCATTTAATAAATTCATGTTCCAATGGGTAAAAAATAGTAAACTGTCAAAGAAAGGGGTTTTACATACCGGTACTTCATGGTAAGCTGGTTCCCTATCCCCTATCCTGAATTTAACCTATTTTCACTTCCTATGAACAAAATATAATGTCTCAAGTATCAACACATTTTGGTGTAATTTTTTAATTTCAGACTAGATTAGAAATTGATCGATTAACTTTTTCTTGGGTACCATTTGTGAGAAATTTTAGAATATTGGGGATAGGGAGTAAATAAATATAAATGTGATAAGATCATCTGATTATAGGTTTTATTATCAGTACGGGCATTGTGACAGAACTTGATTCATTTTCAATCAAAGGTATATGTAATTCCGTCAACACAACTTGTACTCTTGCGTGATATCTTGTTATTCGACTAATTATAAGAAATAGCCAACAATGAACGTCTAGACGATTTTCTTTGCCAAACCATCTGTCTTGCACCAATGACAAGGGGAAACTTCGAGATAAGAGATGGTGCTATATAGTTACATCTGGCAAACTCCAACAGGTATCACATCGGGCCTCGTTAAACAAAATTGACAACATTTTTCATCAAAACAATGATTGATTGTTGTTATTCATAACATTTCTGCCACATTCAACTACAATTGAGCATATGATCCTACCTACCTCAGACATTTCAAATTTGACGTCATAAAGGCGGGGCGTTGTGTATAACAGCCAATCAAAGTACTAACCTGATGAGTTGCACAGGAATAATACACCATAATATGAATGTCCGTATCAATTTTAATAAAAACAACACTTGATTTAATTTATTGACAATATTTGCAGATAAACCAAAGTTGTTTCACTAGAGTGGGGTGCGTATGTTTAATAAATAATAAGTCCTAATAGTATAAAATTAACTTATTTTCAAGATGTTACATGCACCCAATCGTAGCTAAAACCAAGCACATCAGTTCTCGTAGCTACATAGGTATGGAACCACAGACCTGGTTATAGCTACAAGACGTACCGGTAGCTAAAAACGTTGAGATATACTGATGTGCTTGTTTTTATTATTAATGTTTTTTTTTTTTCTTTATTAATGCATCGAACATCTTAAAAATAAGATAATTTTATACTATTATGACTAATTAAACTTACAGAGGCCAATGTAGTGGCACAACTATCGCCTAACTCCAAATATTTGTGTTTAAATTAATGAAGCGTTGTTTTTATCTGACATACACCGTCATACATCTCCCTTAACGCTTCGATTATAAAAACGATGATTTACACCCGTTTCTGGTAGGATTATATGCCTAATTGTAGTTGGATGTGGCAGAATGAGAAATATTAGAAATGACAAATCAATCGGTTTGATGAAAAATATTGTCAGTTTTGCTTACTCAGTTACTGAGACCTGATGTGATTTGCGTTGGGCTTTGCTACGTGGAACTATACAGCACCGGGGGATTGAGAGATGAGGTTTCTTATCTAACCTGATTCAGTCTGCCTCAGGTAACTTATATATAATAGTGTTCGAGCAAACTGCAAAGCGCCTTACTAATGTCTAGCTAGGCCTAATATTATATATTACTTATTTTACTTAAAAGTTAAACACACTGAAGGTGTTGGAAGTTTATGCCTATTCTTCTACATAAGAACGGGTGATTGGTATCTAAACGCTCAACTTACATCTACAATTATATAACTCTGTTAAATTAAAACTGATCAATCATTCATAAAAAAGTTTATAACAAACATAATTCTGAAAATGTCAGATGACAATATTTCTCTATGTCAAAGGGAAATAACTACCAATAATCAAAAATGTTTAAATTTTAGACTTGGATTCAACGATATTTTAAGAATAAATAATATCTTTTTATGTGATTTTAAAATAGGGAAATATTCGGTTTTGAAACACAAACGGGTAATCTTATATAATGAAATGATGTTAAAGATGAAAATATAAACCACCCAACAGTAAATCAAATTTCGTTAAAATGTATTATGTTTTTGCTGGTATAAGGGAGGTAAATCCATTTAACCCGAAATCCAGTCTACAAATTTTAACTTCCGGTTTGTATAATTAAAGCACGTGTTTGGTTTGTTGACGTTTAATTTTACCGGTAAATGTTTACTGCAAATAACACCAACTTTCCATGCCATCTAGATAACAAAACGCTGATTTATCGGGGATCCGGGACTAGAAATAAATCGAATACGATATTGATCAAATGTTGTAAAGGGATATAATTATTATTAATTATATTCATTTAATGCCAATTCATATGATCATGGACCTTATAATGAGCATCCATGTGGTATTACAATTACACAATTTACAAATATTATAATCTAGAGATCATCATTATGTAATCATTCATGCCATTACCATTTACTCATAGACATTAGACATACACATACAAGTTAACATACATGATGTACAAGGTGTCCATACAAGGTGTACAACTACAAGGACCTTATTATAATGTATCATGGTGAAAGTCATTATAATGATGATAAATTATTATTAATCGATAAAGACATAAGTACTAAGTAGGCTACATATCACTATCACACATATACATACATCTGGAAATAGAGTTTAGAAATCTTATGTGGTTAAAATGTGAAAATATGCACCGTTGATTACAGAAGCCCGCTAGCCCATATCATGGCATTTTGGAAATCTTACTATTATGATTATCTACTTAATTCTGATTAAGAGTAGAAGTTGAATAGTAGAGTCAATAGAAACTAGACAAAGTTATCCACTCTTGGATTCAGTTTTAATGATGTGCAGAAAGGATATCTAATTGTACAATTGCGACCATATACAAGACAAGCACACATATCCATCAATATCACCTATTATTATTTGTCAATATCAAAGTACATGTAGGCGCTGGAAGTTGAACGGTTCTAAATTATTTTCTATATAAACAGTAATAGTAAGGTCCATGGTAGCACTCTCACTAAAATGTGCCAAATTAAGACTATATCGATCTGAGAATGTGAATTTTAGCAATGGGGTTAATCGTTTTTAGAATAATTGATAGGTCTGTAAAAAATGGTTGTATTACTATTTCTAATTTTCAAGAAATATTATACTTGTCATTAATTTCATTTTTTCTCTTTTTGTTTTCAGAGTGCTGCCCACAATTACACAACATATATTAAGTAATTCATAAAGGCATAGAAAGAGTTAAAGTATCATGTCTACGTTAGCTCAACAGTTGCAGCGGTTGGCTGTTCCTCAGACATCTAATCTAACACTTCATGACAAAGAAAGGAAATCTCTTTTATTTGATCCGAAAGAAGCAGCCAGTCTAGATAAAGAAACTTTTTATGCTTTAGGTAATAAAACACTTTATTTTAATACTCTTTTACTACATTGATTCTGATTGGATTTTTCATTTTATTGCAATGGCCATTTTTAATTCAACATCAAGCAAAAAGGTTTTTTTGACAAAAGCAGTGACTGTGTCACAAACCTAAGTGGTGGTCATCAAAACAGTGCCGAAGTCAAGGTAATTTTTAACAAATCAAATTCATGACTTTGAATTCATACAAATATCATTTTATCTGTTAAATTTTCAGGAATAAATGGATTGGAGGAGTTATCTGCCATTCAGCCAACTTTAAGAGAATTTGAAAGTAGCCTTTTTAATGAAAATGCTCAAAATTTTCAAAGGTCTGTGCAGACAAAAGAAGTGAACAAGAGACTGAATGAAACAATATCAGAATTTTTACTTCAATTATCTCCTTATTTTTTATTGAAACCTGCACATAAAACATTGGAATGGCTAATTTACAGGTATTATTACTTTCTTTACCTCAGATTAATAAAATTGTGTCATGCAAGCTTTATATTATATAGTAATCAACTTGTGTCTGGACAACTTCCCACCATATTTTCTGGTTTTTGTTATCCAGTGAGTATTAGAATTTTGCATCTGTTTGCTGTTTTAATAACTTTTGGTAGATTTTAGAAATTGTTGTATTTATCAGAACACTCAGGGAAAAGGGGGGGGGGGGGCAGCACTCTAAAAGAGTTAACATGACTGTAAATTGTTTTAGTGATCTCAATATTTTGTGTTGCAACCTTCAGACAAGGTAAGTAATTTGTTTTGATTTGTAAACTGAGTCTTGGCCTTTAATTATGTGTGTTTGTTTGTTTTACAGGTATCAAATACATGTGTATAATATGGATGATGTAATGTTATGTATTTTACCATATCATGAAAGTAAAATATTTGTTAGAGCTCTCCAGCTGTTAAAATTAGATTCAAAAATCCAAACCATGTGGGACTGGCTTCACCCAATCCAGGTGAGAATCTGCATGACTTTGTTTATTTATTCAGGTTATTTGACAGTTATCATTAGTGGGTGTAACTATAAAATTTGGTACACATAGGTGATTGATTGTTAATTCTGTGTTCGAATAGAATTTTAATAATATTCTGTGAATAAGATACTGGTTTAAATGGTTTATTTGTATATTTACAGGAATCTGGTGTTTATTTACCAAGATCTACATTAATAAACCACTGTGGTACTAATCCAGCATTTCTTGCTTTTATCTGTGAAATGGTACCAAAATATATCAATGTGAGTATAATGACATGTTTTAATGGATATGGATTTATATACAGGGTGACCCCAAAAAAACAGAACCCATAAAATTTTTAGTAAATCACCAAAGAGGAATGTGTTCGAGTAAATGACAATTTTGCGCAACTTATGCAAGTTTGCCTCCAAGTCATGCTGCATAAATAGTGAATTATAAACTGATATTTCTTTGTTATAATTATTATTGTGTAACAAACAAATCAGAGTTACTTTGAAAATCTGATGTATAATAGATGAGTTTGGCTTAAAGAGTACACAGAAACATGCAATTTCTTGTTGGTTTTTCTCTGTTAAATGTTTTATATACCTGAACTGGTTATTTGTAATTCAGGCACATACAGTTGATGATGTGATTTTAGTAAAACAATTGAGAGTTGTCTTTTCTTTCTACACAACAACGATTGTGGGAGTGTTGGAAAATCGACCAATTACAGAGAAGATTGTATCTGGTTTAATACCATATATAACACAAGGTCTCAAATCATCAACTGAAGAATATAAAGCAGCATCATATATGATCTGTGGACAAATGTTTTATAAAGCACAGTTACAGGAGAAACTACTAGTGACTCTCCAAAACACTATATCAAAGGTTGGATCAAATTTTATTAACTTGATTTAATTTAAGTAAATTATAAACTAAACATGCATTATGCAAGAGCTAAATCTGCCTATTTCAGGTCTTTCTTTAGGTCTGAAACGCTATCTGAATTATAAATTAGAAATTAATTAACTTCTTCAGACCATAATCATCTCTCGAAACCATCATTAGCCTGTGGTATTTATTGGATTTGAATAGATTTTATGATGGATAATTTAACGTAAAAGTGTTTATTATCATACCAACATTGGTAATGATGATTGAGGCTAGCCTAAAATTGAATTGCTAAATATAATATCTTGGTTCATAGTGAAGCAATTTGACTGAAATTTTCAGCATATTCTGTTTTAATTATCTATTTTTTTAACTATTGTAGCGAGAACTGCCAGCTCTTTATCTAATCTTACCTAATGCCCATATAATATAATTTTTTGAAATTTATTTTTATTTTAGATTTTATTTTATATTATATTTTATATTTTTCAGTATTTACTACCATCCTTGTTAACAGAGGGTATTATCTGTATTCTGGTTATGTTTCAATCACAGGACAATATAAACAAACTATCCAAAAAGTAAGATTTATCTATTGTTTTCAATAACAAAGATGTTGAAGCTAAAATGGGTTGAAGAAATTATTTCCCCTCAATAAGTATTTGCAATTTATGTAGAAAGGTTATAGGATATATGCTCTTTTACACAGATAAATAAAAATAGGATATAGATTAAATAACCTGATATTTTGTTGGTTAATCATGGGTTTTGTGCATTCAATAGCTGTCATTGTCATATATTTACCCTTGACATTATAAGGTTTGTCTTAGCAAGTTGAGTTTATGGCTTGTAGTAATAGAATACTTTAGCTAACGTTACTGTACATCCTAAAATGCATTTTATTTTTCAGATCTTTTAAATATCTATCGAGACAGAATCGACTTGTTTCAGTACTAGAACAGCTGGCCATTACACACAATATAGATGCTCTCTTAAAACCCCTCTTATTAAAGCTAATTACGGCTGGGGTTAAGCAAGCAATGACCGGTGTTGTTACCATGGATACAAGTGATGACGAGGGTAGTGGTGGACCACCATCTTTTTTAGCTATCATACGAGAAATAATGTCAAGATTGACTTTAAATGACAATATCGCTACAGAGATGGCAAGGTAGTATACAAATTTTATTTTTCTAATGACATTTTAGAAGCTATATCTTTTTTAAGGAAAATGTTTATTACGTGTTTCTTAGAGAGCCGATTTTTGAATTTTGATTTTGTGCACTTCTGGTTTAACTTTGTTCGACTTTTGACCTACTATATGGTGACCTAGTCCTTCAGTGAACCTTGCATATATGATGACCCTGATGTCTACTAACAACTAATATCAAAAAGTTCAGTCTTGAAGTATAACTTCTGGTTTTATTAGGAGTTCAAAATAACAGTTTTTTCCGCTTTAATAGGTATTGGATGTTACTAAACTCAATAGTTCATAGTGTAACTTGATTGTTGACGTGACAAGGCGTGACCTGACTTACCGAAACACGTCAGTATTCCTTCCGAGTTCTAATTTTCAGTTAATCTGGTTGTACTCATATCCTTGTTTATATTAACATTTAAATAATCTAAATCAGTGTTGTATTTGCCAGGAAAAGTACATTTTTATACAAAATGCTAGACCATTTGGAAGTGTGATACATTTTTTTAATCTACTTAAGTAATAAAGCAAATAAGACCAATATATTTAATGATACGTTTGTTCACAATTTGTGGTTTTCAGTTCTATATTAGAGAATTATATTGAGCATGGCAGTGATCTGAACCCCAATGATCCAAGTGGTGAATCTATTAATCTTAATATGAAAACCATTGTTTCTTCTTTAGAAACCAAGTAAGTTCATTAATTATTGTTATGATTTTGGCTTAAGACAAAGTCATGGTGGCTCTGTGTATATGGTACTGACTCACTAACCAGGAGGTCTAGGTTTTAATCCTTGTGTTGGCAGAGAAAGTTCCTTGGGATTCTCCAACCTGCTTTTCCTTTATCAGTAGTTTTGGGGGAGGGCCTGGCAAGGAAAAGCACTTAGCTGATTAATTGAATGGTACAAAAATCAATTAGCAGCACATAAAATATCCCCTGGCAGTTGCAGATTGAAATAAGAGTAAACTGTATCGTCATTGTCAAGGAAAATTTCCCTCATAGCACCCTGCATGGCATATGTATGTCTTCATTATTCCTGTTGGTGCAGCTAGAGCAGTAAGACATTAAACCCTATTTCATTTCACTGCTACAAATAACTAAATAATAGAATTTCTATTCTAAAATTGCTTACTGGATTTGCTGACCGAAAAGTGATTAAGTTTCAAACACAGCCTGTAAGATCATTTGATTTGAAGTAAAATTTGTACTTGTAGTCAAATAGTTAATTTTATTTGAAGCATTATATATCGTCTCTTCCAGGTATCCAGATTCTCTTGATGCGGCCATTGCTGAAATGCGAGGGAGAGTAGAAGATACTGATCAACAAGAATCAGTAGATTATTTTTTGCAGCAATCTGTAGTTTCAGTTAAACGACAGATTGTACCTGACATGGACACTAACCTATTCCTGTGTTTAAATCATAGAAGTGAAATGGTTAGAATTCGTTCTGTTCAACATTTATTGCGCAACAAAGATCAGGTCAGTTAATTGATTATTTTTGTGCTTATGATTTATATTTTGTTAAAAGTGCATTGAGATACGAGAGTATAATAGAAATAACATTGAAGATTGGTGTTTTAAAAAGAGTAAGCATGTCCTGCTTATTTTTCTGCACCAACCGGGCTATTTAAGACAGATACACTTCATACAGTTTGCTATAGGGGCAATTTTGCCCAGGCAGTGGTGATGTGTCTTATTCTTCAATTTCCAACTGTGATGGGATCTTTTTGATGAATTGTCAATGGTACCACTGACAAAAAGAGGAAATCGGACTGCAAAATCTTGGGGAACTTTCTCGGCCAACAGAGAACTTGTGCCTTACTCATTGAACCACCTTTGTTTGGAGCCATAGATTGGATTTCTGAAGCTATTGTTGTCATTATGGGTATGATATATTAAATGAACTGTCAACAGCAGTTAACATGATTGGCAATCTACAAGGAGAAAAATATCTTCGAAAAATTTACAATCTGGACTTTTGTTTAAGAGAGAAAAGTTAATTAAAACTATATATGTATGGTGTGATTTGCACTGGAAACATTTATGTGTAATCTATTTTGAATTGCTTTACTGAATTCTAATTCTTTGTGTTACAGTGTAATGATGATAATTTTCTATGTGATTCGTTATTGGCTAGAATGGTAGATGACAGCCCGAATGTTGTTAAAACTGTTTTCAAAAATTGTAAGGTAAGAAAAGTATAATTGTTCATGACCTGTCATTTGGAAACTCATTTTAATAAATGTTCTGAAAATTGACAATTGCAGGTGGAGCATTTACCAAGATTTTTCAAATTTATTTAATTTTAAAGCAATAGTAGCTCTTCTGAGTGATTTGCACCCACAGCAATTGTCCTGCCCTCATATATATTAAGTAAAATAAATTAGTTATAAATGTTTTGATTAAAAAGAGGTATCATTAATTGAAGTATTATTTTACAGGATCTAGAGAGTGTGATTAGTGATAAACAACAACTAACAACAAACCTTTTACAAGTATTTAAAACACACACGTATGTTTGCTATATTTCTTTATCGGTATTAATCTTCTTATTGTCTTCTGTTAGCAGAATTTCCAGAGCTACTGGAAAATATTGGTCTTCAATATTAAACGACTTTAATTTTCTAGCTAACTCCTCACATCATGTCCATGGTTTTTATATATAAACTTTACAATTTAGAATAAGAAAACATTACATTATAGTAAGTACTATGGTAATTTGAAATATGGACCTTGTGAGTTTTAAAGTAGAAATTATGGCTTATTTTTCATTCTACAAATGTTGAAAACAGTTTATTTATTTTCAGTGATAAAGATATCATACAAGATGCTCTAACAACAATGGTAGCTATTGATGGCTGTGATGTTCACATTCGTGGACCTGTTTTACTTTCATATCTCTGCTGCCTGGATAAACAAGACTTCAGTCTTGATTTCTTAGAGAAGCTTTTGAATTCACCATTAGCAAGAGATTATTTACCATTATCTCAACTGAAATCAAGTAAGCTTTTAATGTTTTCTGGATTAAGTGATCAGAGAGTATCATGGTTAACATTTGAGCTCTTCACCAATGCGATGTTTGAACATGAGTGTGTTCTGTTTGGCCACCCATCTGATGTGGTACATTTAAGATAATCTCTTATTATTAATGATAAATTATTTACAGTGCCATCTGTGCTAAGTACAAACTTTAATTTGTACTATGTTTGGTTTATTTAGAATGGCTGACTCCATTGAAAAAGACAAAGAATATAACAGCAGTAGCAATGAACATCCAGTTAGCCCAGGTTGTTGGTGAAACTATTGTTGACAGTGATAAAGACTTCAGATCAGTTGTAAGTTATGCAATGACTGTTTTTAATATCGTCAATTATTATGATCATATAATACCAAGTTCTGTTCACATTATGATAACTATTTGCCCTTTATAGGGTCTCTATGGAAGCGAACATTAATTTACTACTAATTATAAAATTATGAATGACTATGATGACAGCTATCCACAGTTAAAGAATATGTTCGAAACATCATCAACTACACCAGGGGCCTGTTTCTCCAAATCTTAATTAAAGATAAAATCCAAATTTTGGGAGATACTTCAATTTTGATTGGCTAAGCACTAAAATCAATCTAATTTTATCCAATCAAATTACTAAAATTTGGATTTTATCTTAGTTAAAATTTCATGAAACAGGCCCCAGTATGATCTCCTTTAGCTGATATACAGCTACCCACAGTTAAAGAATATGTTCGAAACATCATCAACTACACCAGATGTTTAGTATGATCTCCTTTAGCTGATATACGGTGGTGTATTGGACGATTTAGTCAAATTTTTGTAGTTAGTCTTTCCAATTGAGCAATACTAGTGACCATCACAATTTTTTTTAAAATTTAGGGTGGGATTTTGAATGAAGGCAACTGGTTGGTTCAAGTACATGTCATCATTTATGTATATATATATATATATAGTTAAAATATACTTGGACCATCTTGTTTATCATTTTGTCCTGTTCTCTATCACCGTTCTATTCACAGCTTTTATTGTTTCAGATCACATCTATATATGAACAGATTGATGTCAGTCCTTGTCCACAACGTTTATTATTTATCGTAAATCTTGTTTTATTAAAACTTGTTCAATCCAAGAAACATGCTGGTGTTGTCACCAAATCAAGTCTACTGTTATCTGAGTTTTTAGAGAAAGTGTTTAGTCAAAAGGTAAATATATTAATTCACAGGCATAACAAAATGTTTAATATATGCAGTCAGAATAATCAGCAGAATCTCTTTATATTTAATAATACACGTAGACAGTAGAAAACTGTTTAATAATAATCAGGCCATACAAAAGAAATATTCTGGTTCTCAGATACTCCCACATCAAAAAATAAAAACGATCTCATTTATTACCTCATGTGAATATTTCCCTCTGGTTACAGGAAGCAACTCTATAAAAAAGTTTGTTTGTATGAAACTGGAAGAGTACTGTAGGCTCAGTTATCAAGTACACAACCTTGATAAATGTTTCTGGCAATCATAAATGAAACTGGATAATCATACATTGCTCAAACATATGACTCCAATATGAGATAACTGTAGTGGTTTGAAATGTGATGATTTGAGAAGTCATTTAACCCAGTAGCAGAATATTATTATCATATCTTCTATTAACTCCATATACGCTATTCCTTGCCAGATGTATCAATGTATATTTCATCAAAATGCATTGAATTGTGAAATACAAACATACAGAAGTTTGTTAGCTATTCAAACCCATAAGAAATGATATGATGTGTTTTGAATATATACGGATTCAGGTTTACAAATTAAAATTTTTATAGGTGTTTTTACTTTATTCTGTAAAATACTTAATTACAATAGCATAAATGAAAAATTGAATATTGTTAAGAGTGACCATTTGATGATTAATAGCATTGATTTAAGATATTTTCTCTGTTCACAGGAAAATAAATCAACAGAATATGAATGGAGTTCTGTAGAAGATATGGTACAAAAATCATTGACCTGTTTAACACAGGGTCAGCATCTACCATGGTGTTTTTATCTGTGTTTATTATCACAGTTAGTAGATCACATCAATATACCTAAAACTTTTAAAGGTAGGTTCAAATATATTTCACCCTTTTTGTACTTCTCTCAACATAGAGCATAGATGTCCAAAATTTCTATGGAGCTTATTAACTGGGAGGTCTGTGCTGTTCCTCGAGATTTCCAGAGAATGTCCCTCATAGCACACTGCATGACATATCGTTGGTGAAGTGTCAAAAGGGTCTATTTAAGATTTTCTAAAGATTAAGAAATAGAACCTTTTGCATTTCAAAATTTCCACAAATCAAGATACAATATTTGGACACATGATACCCAGAACAGTTCTAATTGGTGTAGAGATACACAGCTTAGACAGAAATGTGCATATTAATTGAGAGAGTTTAAAAATGCCAAAATGTATATTTGACTAATTTCCCGACATACACCCTTTTGACACTTCACTGACGATATGCCAGTCTTCATTAGACCGATTGATTCAGGAAACCCCATTTTATTTCCTTCCATTGAAGAGGAAGATCAGAATAACTAGGGCTATGATCTAATTTTGTGAATTGTAAGCCTCCATCTATTAAATGTTTATTTCCCATTTCAGACAGTGTATTTTGGCAGTTCAGAAACGATAGCTCAACTGAAGATGATTGGTTAAAACTAATTATTAAACTTATGGATATTTTATTAGAACAAGTAGCAAATTCTGACATTAAAAATCAAAGTCAAGAATTACTGATGAAATTAATTCAGGTAAGTCCTATATCAGGCATTACAATCTTTGAAAATCAATTTAACGTTTCTGAGGAATATATATTTTGTAGAAGGTGTACAAATCTCAACATTTTTTTTTTTTTTTTTTTCAGACAAAATTCCCAGATTCATCGACCCGATTTAAATTATTTGGTTTAATTTGGACAGAACATGTCAATAATTATAGTCAGGAACTAGGACTAACGGCCATATTACAAGCTAGAGTTTTACAGTTAGGTCAGATGTACATGAGATCATTACAGACAATAGTCTCACCAACATCAGGTATGTACATTTACAAAGAATCCCATTTGCACAATGTTATTGTAGAGATGTGCTTTTTGTAAATTGGATTTTAAAAGTGTTCAAGTTCAAGAAGTTGTTATGTTGAAAACATCGGTCTTTAAATAAATAAAAATCATACAATATTTTATATTTGTCTATATGTTGACTGTAAAAGTGGATGTATATTTTTTCACCCATGTCTCTCCATTTAAGATATCTTGTGTACAAGCTGTCAAGAGGTCTTAACTAAATATGTTGAAACTTCAAATGAAGTATCGAAGTTGTGACTCATTGAATATTTAAAATGTTGAAGGATAGCTGTCATATTAATTTATTTACAAACCGAAGTATGGAGCTTTAAACGCAAGGTGTTTTATTACATAAATAGAATATCCAAGATTAGCCAGAATTATCTACCTTGCTTCTCAAACCTTGTGAATAGCGAGAGAATATGGTTTGATGTATTTGTAACGCATCTAAATCTTTGATTAGCTTTTTATCAATGGTGGGACAAGTTGGCATATATTGTGGTTGCAACTGAAATGGTTCTGTTTTTTTCCAGTGATCATCAACTTATTAAGTGTCTGTAGTAGCAGTCATTCTACATTACGTGAAGTAGCTACAGCTAGTTTAAATATAATGGTACACATACTACCTGATACAGAAACTGCTAGTAGATTGTTCTTACGTAACTTGTTAAATACAGAAGAGGAAATTATTAATGATCCTTCTTACTTATGTCAGGTAAATGCTGTGTTAAATGGTACAGTCATCACATTTTTATACGCTCACATTTTCATGTGGACGTATATTGTCGTCGCCCCTGTCCGTCCGTCAGTCCACAATTGTTTGTGGACACTCTACAGGTCACAATTTTTATCCGAAACTTGAAATATAGGTTTATCTCCCTAAGATCTCGGTTCCTTTCGATATTGGCATGTATCGGACCATATCTTCATGGATTATGGCCCCTATGGAGGTCACAATTTTATTCCGATTTAAAAAAACGTTTGAATATATCACCGTTACACCTTAATGACGGTTGAGTTCGAATTTTGTGAAAATCGGACCAAAACTGCTGGACAAAATGGCCGCCCCTCAAATGCAAACAGTGTAAAAATATGGTATATCAAGGTTGTGGACCCTCTAGAGCTCATAATTTTGATCCGATTTTGATGAAACTTGAAATGCATGTTTATAACCCAAAGATCTTGGTTCCTGTCGATATTCGCACATATCTAATGATACCTTCCTGAATTGATGTTACGAAAAATTGCTTTTTATTTGGCTTGTTCTCTATCCATCTCTGGAAAAATGTGGGCATATCCTGTCTGGCAGCCGCTGGTAGTTATTGTATCTCTATCCTCCACAGAAGTGGGTGCTGAATTTTGTACAGTTTTAGATCTGGTTCGCAGTTTTAAATTATACATAAAATTCTAATCTGTAAACCTATTGACAATGATTATATATGCATATAAGAATATTTATTATATATTTCAGTGTTTTAGATCAGTTTACGAGAATAAAATCATAACTTGTACACCAAAGAAAAAAAGAAGATCAGTTGTTGATGGTGATAAAGATTTTTCTACTATCCTACTAGAGGTTGCTATTGATGAGGAGACACCATCATTTGTCACTAGATCTATACTCAGCATGATGTCAGATATAGATAACGTGGTAAGAATTCTCACTTTTTTTTTAAATTCTTCAAAGAAATTCGGTTTTTATTTGGGAGCATGGAAGAATTCAAAATAGGTAGGGTAAGTAGACAACTGATGTTTATCAAATAACCTATTAACAAATCTGAAATAAATAAATAGATCTTTTTTTTTAAACTTTGCATTTACTAAATCACAACCCATTGCTTTAGTAGTATTCTGAAATTTTAAATAATAATATTCAGTATTATCAGGCAATTCGTTTTTGATATAAAATTAATAAGTGGCTTATTTATAGTTCAATTATCTAACACTGGCCTCTTTCCCAAAATTTGATTGCTAATCATGTAAAATAATAATATATACTTTCAGTGCAAGAAGAGGCTGTGAATTATTTTTTTAAAAGTCGAGTTGATTGTGTACCAAATCTTCTTTGACTTTTTATTACGAGATTTTGAATATATACAGATTCATGTTTACAAATTAATATTTTTATCGTTTTGTTTTTACTTCATTTGAAAGTTTCTTTTTATTACTTTATTTGCTTTTTTTGCAGGAGTGTTTTTGTGAAAGTCTTCCCCTCTTAGAAAGATATCTGAGTAATAAATATACAACAGCCACAGCCATAGAGATGGATTGTCTTTCCCTGTTATTAGATAAATACACACCAGACGTGGCTAGTAGTTTAAACTGTAAAACAAAAGAATTAGAACTACTGGCAGAAGCTATATGTATGTCCAGAAAACCAAATAATACTCGACCAATGATACAAGAGCTAGCCATTCCCAAGGTAATGTCATCTTTGCTTAATGTAACTTAAAATACATTTTTTTACGCTTAATAGATAAAATAAAATTACATCCAGCCCTTAATGGTCAATATTAAAAAAAAATGTCATCTTTGCTGAATGTAACTATAAGATACGACTTTTACGCTTAATAGATAAAATGAATTTACATCCAGCATCAAGCCCTTAATGGTCTGTATTAAACAAATATACTTGTTAGTCCAAATCTGTGAACATTTCATATGATTAGTGTGCATTCCATATAATTAGTGTACAATTTATATGTATTTTACAGATCAATAAAGAATTTTACAGTTGTCTGCCAAGTCTAGAATCCAAACAAGTCATTCTGAAGTCCCTGATAACAGCCTGGTTGAATTCAACGAGTGTATCTACTTCTAATATGGTCAAACGCAATCTAAAACATGTAAGTTTAATGTTCTGTATTAGTATATCAGATACATTCTAGGTGAAAATGGTGCTCTTGAAGGAATCTATGAGACCAGAAATATTATAAAATTGCTGCCTTATTCTACGACTACATGAATCATGTAGTCTGCTTCTCACACAGAGATATCATGGAAACAACAATATTTTTAATGGTTATTTGGCAATTAACATTTTTTGATAAGAGATTAAATGTTCAAACTTTGTGTAAATGCTTGTCAGTTGAATGTCTTGACTGAGTTAGATAATGAGCATTTTGGGCTAAGCAGAGATAAGCAATTTGGTTTGGATTGTAGATACTTTAGGACACAATATCTTTGATTCTAATTGAGTGAGAGTGATGAAAGTTTGTTTGTATTTTCATTATGTCGGTTCAGCAACAATCATTTTCTGCTCAGATTACACAAGTCATAACCAATTATAAATGTTCAAGTAGTTAATGAGTGTCGTCTATTTATTTTGACAGGGGATATCAGTCTCACTGTTGGCTTGTTTTCACATTAATAAAACATAATTGTATTTTATTATAGATGAATCTAGATGCTGATAATATAATAGTAGAACTATCAACTGTTTTACAAACAACTAATGTTAATACAGTCCGAGAAAGTAAACGTCTCAGAAAGTAAGTACAAAAATGAATATACTCTATCAAATCAGGTTATCACAGATGATCAGCTCATAATCACCTCACCAATGTCTAATAGTCAGCTCATCGTTAGCTTCTGAATCTTTCTAAAAACCTTTGATGGAAAAACAGATCTCTAGAGGATCAGTGTATCAGGTCATATTGTAATAACCTATTTTCTCTGTTTTAATATATTTTACAATTTCATTTTATGCTATGCATTTCAAACATGATTAAACATGGTTGATATGTGATGTAAGTTATTGTTTCTTTTCCAGACAAAGTAGTCCTGAAATAGAGAAAGAATCAATTTTTGATAGTGAGATGTGGAAAAGAATTGTTATTGTTCTAGAAGCTATACAAGAAAAGAAGAAAATTGATCAGGCACCAAAACTTGTTCCTGTAGCATTTCAATTACTGGCTAAGTAAGTGTACTTAGAGTGGGAAGTGTTTTTTTCACTGAGTACAGCATTATATTGATAAAATTAGTTCAGATTAACTCAGAAATTAGAGCATATATATTATATGCATGTGAATAGATCACATTCTGTTCTGGGCTAAAAAAAAACGTACCAAGTATGCAACACAGCACAGGTCTGTCCTGTCCTAAGATTTTTAAATCTTGTTTTAAATCATTCTGAATAATATTCAGATCCTAATAACAGATCCTATTTTTTGTTTCGTTTTTTATAGTTTAAAATTTCGTTCTACTTGTCTTCATAACACTAGAATCTGGAAGAGTTGTTATATAACAGGCGTTCTAGTTGATGTGAGCAATTAGACAATGAAATTGTCTGTTACGGCTAGCTCTTGGCGTGTCCTGCACGGAACTGTGGGTAAACCCCTAGAAACGTCAACGCTGATTGATTAATCAATGCCTGATGTCATAGGATCTAAAGCCGCTTGTATAACCCCTGAAGCGACCTCCCAGTACAACTGGTCAGATCTTCAAGTAATGTCGGCCATCGAAAGTATAAAAAACAAAATGAAATGCAGATCTGTATTTTAATCAGATTGATTTGTATTTGATTGACAGAGATTATGAACTAGTGTTTATTTCTTACAGAATATTAGAAGCAGAAGATCATTTATCAGCTGAGTATATAAAACAGTTGATATTATCTACATTATATTTTATATGTTCGAGACATCAAGATGAGATCAAAGAATCAGGTTGGTTTTATAGACTGTTTGTGTTTGGGGATCACGTGGCTAAGTGGGTAAGACGCTAGCTCGCTAGCCTGGAGGTCGGGTGTTCGATCCCTGCATTGGCCGATAAAGTTCATCCAGATTTTCCGGCGTGGTTCTCCCTTGTCAGTGATGCAGGACGGAGGGGCTGACAAGGAAAGCTGTCTAGTCGTTCGGATGGTCTGAAAAACCGAGGTCCCGTGTACACATTGGCGTGCACGTAAAAGATCCCTTGGCAGTTGGAATTCGATATAAGAGTAGGCCGTTGTGCCGCTGTCCGGGCAAAATTTCCCTCATAGCACACTGTATGGCGTATGCCCGTCTTCATTAGCCCTGGTTAGGAGCAGAACAGTAGGACGTTAAACACCATTTCATTTCATTTCATTTATAGGCTGTTTGATATCTGTACAGTTGGTTTTCCTCTGTCTGTCTTTCTATTCATATGTCTGTCACACATTTTGAACATAGAATCTTTGCTTCTAATTGAGGTAGAATTTTCAAACCTCGTATAGATGCAATTTGATTTTTCAATTCTTTGGAACACCATGACTTTGATTCTGATTTAATGAGGGTTGTTTAACTTGGTGTATAGTTTCATTATATCAATAAGTTTTGTAATGAACAGTTTCTACTCATTTTCTAAGGACTGTAAGCATCAATTTGATTGCTCAAAACATTTTATAAAAAGATGGATATGTAAATAGTCAAATGAACATCATCTATTTATGTTAAGGCTTAGAACATCAGCTTAAGCCTACTGTTGGCTTATTGATATTACACTGGGGCCTCATATAAATGTAGGTTTCAGTATAAGGTGTACCATGGCTCCCATAAACCCCAATATCAATAGTGAAGCTCCAGTTAATGCATTAAAATAAATATACAGATACAGGTAGATTTTTGCCAGGAAATATGTTATCTATCATTTAATGCATGTCGTATTTAATTTCATTTATTTATTTGTAGCTTTAAAACCTGAACAGTTTAATCTGGAGAGAATAGTCCAGTGCATCAGGACGTCTGATAATCCACAGACACATCATCAAGCTCTACTCGTCTTGACAATAGCAGCTAAAATTCAACCAGTATGTTAATATACATGTTTCTCTTAAAACTTTTTTGTATGTACTGAAGTTTACTTAACTTAATAGAAAATACAAATACCAAATATTTAATTCATAAACAGATGTTCTTGAAGTAAGAAATGATTTTGTTGCCAATTTTTTGAAGTAAGAAATATATTTATTTTGAATCTTACATTAAAATCCTTCTTTTATATTACAGGAACAATTACTACACAATGTAATGTCTGTATTTACGTTTATGGGTGCCAATATTTTACGTCAAGATAACGCCTACAGCTTCCATGTTATCAGTCAAATATTGGAGAATGTTATACCTGTTATTACTACTGTAAGTTAATTATTTAAATAGATTATATTCTTATTCCAAGCAGATTTAATCAAGAGAGCTTCATTGACTAGGGATATATTGTCTGAATTGTAGAATATATCTCATTGGAAAGAAGTAATAAGTATTGCCAATTATGGATAGCCTTTTAAGTTTTTTGGCAAATAATTTGATTATAAAGTTTGCATTTGATGAATACATTGCGTTTCAAATAATAAATGATTTTACACAAAATGAAGAACCTAACTAATTATCTTTTGTTTAAAGGCATGTGAGGAGAAATCTAAAGCTTCAAAATCTCCTAAGAAAACAAAGAACAAGCCAGAGATGATAATTGGGATGATTTTACGAATATTTGTTGATGCTTATCCACATATTCCTGAACATCGTAAACTGATGTTATTCTCGAAACTGGTGAATATAGTGGGAGAGAAACAGTATCTATGGCATTGTATACTGCTATTTATAGAACATGTTGGTACTAAGAACAAGCGACCAGCAGATGATGATGAAGATGACGACCATAAGGTTAGATTACTCTACAGTATATTAAATTTCTTTACTATGATATTTTGCAAACTAAATATGCTGGGATAAAATTTGGGTCATATTAATCCTACATTTGTAATTAAATTAGTACATGATTACTAAAGTGAGCTGTCATTCTTAAGATCAAATGTTACAGTCAAAGGGAATGGCTAGAGACTTTTTTTAATCTGAGGGAGCTGTGGTGGCTCATTGAGTAAGATGCTGGCTCGCTAACCTGAAGGTCCCGTGTTCATTCCTGGTGTTGGCTGAGAAGATTCATTGGGATTTTCTGGCGTGGTTCCCCCTTGTCAGTGGTGCAGGACAGACGACCTGGCAAGGGATAAATGTAAAACCATCCAAATGGGACTAAAAACCGAGGTCCTGTGTACACATTGGTGTGCACGTATAAGATCCCTTGGAAGTTGGAAATCAATATAAGAGTAGGCTGTAGAGCCACTGTCCTGGCAAACTTTCCCTCATAGCATACTGTATGGCATATGCCCGTCTTCATTAGCCCAGTCGGAGCAGAACAGTAGGATGATAAACCCAGTTTCATTTCATTTCTTTTTAATCCACTATCTGACGAGTCTCTATATCCTGTTAGTAATTGATGTATGAATATCTAACATTTATGACCTAATGTTATGTCTTTCAGCAAGCTGGTCCTATATCTACAAATGATTTAGAATTTATCCTCAAATTAGCTACATCATTTCCTGTTGTAACCCAGATAATGGCAGCAAGAACTATGATTAGTTTTGTAGCCTCACTTCCAGTTGAAAAAGATGATGGTAAATTTTGGTTTCAAACTTTAAAAGATATACCTCATTATATGGTGTATACATTTGGATAACTTTGGTGTTTAACAAAGTGCACTACCGGTAGTGTTTTCTTAATATTAGGAAAATTTCCAAAAATGTTGCATGTTCATCTTAGTATGTATTGAACCTTGTATAAGTTTATGACAAGAGCGAGGATGCGCTTTCGTCATGAGGTATGTAATTAAGTAAGTGATTTTGCTCCCGGCTTGTACATGACGAGAAGAGTCCCTACTCAATCACCAGCCTAGACTTGTGGGTTTTCTGCAGGTTCTCTTGTTTGCTCCCTCTACTAAAGACTACTGCCAATTATTGAAGTAAAGCATATATGTTAGCCCAGAAATGATGTGGTTACTGTCAAGTCTACTGTAAAACCCATTTCTTTCTCTCTACTGTAAAACCCATTCTTTCTCTCTACTGTAAAACCCATTTCTTTCTCTCTACTGTTAAACCCATTCTTTCTCTCTACTGTAAAACCCATTTCTTTCTCTCTACTGTAAAACCCATTTCTTTAAAACCCATTTCTTTCTCTCTACTGTAAAACCCATTTCTTTCTCTCTACTGTAAAAACCATTTCTTTCTCTCTTTGGGGATCACGTGGCTAAGTGGGTAAGACGCTAGCTCGCTAGCCTGGAGATCGGGTGTTCGATCCCTGCATTGGCCGAGAAAGTTCACCCAGATTTTCCGGCGTGGTTCTCCCTTGTCAGTGATGCAGGACGGAGGGGCTGACAAGGAAAGCTGTCTAGTCGTTCGGATGGGACGAAAAACCGAGGTCCCGCGTACACATTGGCGTGCACGTAAAAGATCCCTTGGCAGTTGGAAATCGATATAAGAGTAGGCCGTAGTGCCGCTGTCCGGGCAAAATTTCCCTCATAGCACACTGTATGGCGTATGCCCGTCTTCATTAGCCCAGGTTAGGAGCAGAACAGTAGGACGTTAAACTCCATTTCTTTTCATTTCTTTCTCTCTTTAAGTTTATTAAACCATATCTACATTTTAGTTATAAAATGAACATTATTATTTGTTATAGCATACATTTTGTCTTTCATTTTATTTTGAATAAATTCTTATTTTTTGTTTTAGAACCTGTGAAACAGAAAGTTGGCCGAACTAAATATACTGATGATGTTATAACTGATGAAGCTAAAATATTCAACATATCATCACACACGGCCAAACAACTCCGGCATTTTAAATATACAACATTCTACGTTCTGTGTCAACATCTACAATTTGATCCTTTTCTTTCTCAGGTTAGTTCGAGTTTGAAGAATTAGATTTATGTCACATTTATTTCCAATTCACTAGGGTTAAGGTTGTGAACTGTTTTGGATACACAATTTAATTAGAATATCTGGTTGTCTGTCCTGTTGGCAGGTAAATACATACTTAAATGCTAATATCTACCTTTCTTGGATATAGATTGGTGGGATAAGCATTTATGGTTAGATATGATTACTGAAAAGAACAACTGGCCAAAGTCATGATTTTGTACATCACAGGCATTAAACATCTCAAATTACTATACTTAAAGATACATTATGAGAGATTCGATAATTAGTTGGCAGTTCTCACTATAATAGTTAAAAACTAGATAATGTAAAGGCAATTTGCTGAAAATTTCAGTCAAATTGATCCACTATGAACCGAGAACTAAGCGATTGAAATTTCCGCCTAGCCTCTATCAACATTACTAAAGTCAGTACGATAAACAGCATAGTCTTGATTATCCATTTAATCGTTAAATCGTGAAGGAAAGTTATGCAGTAAATTGGCTCATAATCCACTAAAGATCGCAGGCTAGCAATGCCATCTAGAGTTGATTATTGTCTGGATAGGTTAATTAATGTCTAATTAAAAATTTAGATAACATTTCAGGCCTAAAGAAAGAACTGCAATAGACAGATTTAGCTCTTGCATAATGTATGTTTAAAAATTCAGTATTATTTTTCTATTTACAGATATCATCACAAGGAGAAGAAGATTTATTGGTTCATTTTCAGAGTTTATTAGAATGTGTTTTACACTATATAACACAAGCTGCTAAAACATGTGATAATACACAACATAAACCAGATGCTAAATTCTACCGAGTTTTACTTCATAAAGTTTATGATTTACTTGACAAGGTATGTCTCATCATGTGAGAGGGTGGGTACTGTCACCTCCTTGTGCAGGTGTGGCTCTGGCTTTAGATACCTGTTTATTATTTGTTCAGATTAAAATTATGCTTGTTACAACTCAGTACAGTTATTAAATATATAGTATTTTATTGTTTACTTTCTTCCTTTACTATACAATTTAACAAAATTAATAAAATAGACCAAAATTGTAACTATCCTTCAGTCGTAAATTGAAAATCATGACAAAACTGCACTAACTCAAAGTGTCAAATTTAGTCTAAAAAGAGAGAGAAAGAAATGGGGTTTAACGTCCCCTCGACACAAACTAGGTCATTTCAGACTAACACATAGTTCAATTTTATTTCAATAATTCACTTGCGCGTAGGGGTCTTTAGCAGTGGGAGGAAACTGGAGGACCCAGAGAAAACCCACAAGGTTGGACAGACGACCCTACTCCTTGTCACGTACAACCGGGGAATTGAAACCACACCAGTTGACTCAATGACAGACCTTATGATACAGCGCGCATGGCTAACCGTTCGGCCATCCAAACCTCCGTAAGCAATAACATGTCTTAGCTCTAGAATGATGAACCTAGTAGTAAATGATATGGGGTGTTCTGTAAATATTAAACATACCATCCCTCGTGCATGACCCAGTCACTTGTGGCTAAGATATTCTAGTGTGATTATTTTGTTGTTATTTTCAGGTTGTATCTCTACTACCAGATGTGATGTTTGTTAATGTTATAACTGGTTTACTGGAACATGATTTACCCGCTGTGCAGAGAAAATCAATGGAATTACTTAACACTAAATTACATCAACTAAAAGAAAACCAACATAGTACACAAGTCAGTATTCAATTTTACATTGATTTATCCTATGAATGTTAATTATTGCTTATCATTCACAGCTGTTTCTGTAGTCACTATCTCCATCATGGGAGAGATGTTTCTCAAACAGAAAGCTGTCAAAAGAGCTGGAAGCATAATAGGCTGTCTATAATGTTTTTTTCTCTTATTTCAGATTGATATGTTGCTCCCCCTAGTAGACAAACTAACTAAAGTGGCAAAGACAACTCTGCTTGATGAAAGGGAATGTGAAGATACAGCAGTAAATGGACAGACAGCTTTGTATAGTTTGAAATTATTATGTAGAATGCTTGGAAGTAAAAATCCTAAACCGTTTGTGGAGGTCAGTAATTAATTCATTTTCACAGATCTTGGTCTGTATTAATACCTAACTGGTGACACAGTCATAAGACAAGATAGTGTTGCTATCCTATTTAAGTGTTATCGACTTGATCTGATCTTGTTACATTCAAAATTGTAAGATTAAAGTGTAACCTTTAAAACAAGATGTACAATCATCCATTTATAAAAGTTAACAATATACCAATAGAAATAAAATTGTGTTCTGATTTGTATGGTAACATTTAATTGAAGGTATTCAATTTCTAATCCTCAACTATTTTATTATGGTCAAAATATTCCGGGAAATAAAGACTTTCATTCAGTACACATTAAAAATTAGTCTAAAATCACACTGGTCCAGAATCGACCTGTGCTAAATTAACTTATACAAGTTCCCATCACTTTCTGTTAATTTCATGAAATCATAATTTTCTGGCTTGGGATGACAGCCAGCTCCTGAAGAATAATTTGTATCCATCTATGAAAGTCAAGATCAAGATGGCATCTAACCTTTTTCTTTCTTTTTTTAATGGAATAGATTACTTTACAGCCCTTACTGTTAAATATAAATAATGAAATGACTTGAAGCTTTAATGTAATTGGGTTTTTTTTACATTGTGTGAAACCTATTTATTTTGTATATTAAAAGGTATTGAAAGTATCAAGTAATGTTTTACATGAAAGAATTGAAAGTGCTCCTATATGTGCTACAGTATTACTGTGTATAGCTGAACTATGTACATGTTTAAAAATACATATAATACAACATCTACCAATATTCTTACCACAAGTTATACATATGGTTTCTATAGATGAACAACTTCTAGAGTAAGTTATATAAATATTGTTCTTACCTCCAGTTATACACATGGTTTTAATAAATGAATGACTTCTAGAGTAAATTATATATACCTAATGTATACTGTTTCTACCACACACATGGTGTCTATAGATGATGACTTCTAGAGCCAGTTGTATGCTTGATGTCTTTTAGGCAAACAGCTTTGAGAATTAGCTATATATAACTAACAAACTGTTTTAAGGGGAACACTTTTTTAGTCTTATCTATGACGCAAAACTTTAAGGAGTCTTAAAAATTACTATATTGTAATTTCTAAAATTCAAGCTACATTTCTTTTTCATTTTTATTTTTCAGAAATGAATTATTAACATTAAGTTTTGCAACAGCATTATTGTGTGTTGTTGAAAGTTTACCTCAGTTCCTGAGTCCTTATCTTCTAGATATTCTCATACAGGTATGTTATACAGTAGTGATGTGGTGTCTTTAGCTATGTGTGAATATCACAAAATATAGTTTGTTTTTACTATATGTGTCATTCAGACTTTTTGATGATAATATCCTAATTGTTTTTCTGTAGGTTTGTCGTTTGTCCACATTTGCTGACGGAGATAATCCTCAAAGACCACAGTTACAAGTTAGATTACAACTAGTGAGGTCAGTATGTACCCGTTATTGTATTTAGAACTAGCTACATTTATTTAATCTCAATTCTTTTCAAAGGAGTTGCATTACTATTTAACCTTTCCATATGTCTCTATTTATAAAAGTGTTTTAAAATTCCTATTCTTTTGTAAAGAGTCGGTTTGCTCCCTAATTGTTTAAATTACCTTTAGATCCCTTTAAGGTGAATAAGTCATATTATAACCTTGTATTAAACTATGATACATAAAAAAAATAAGAATAGTACTGGTATGTTTTAAAATTTTCAGACATTTATTGGCTACATCTTTACCATCAAGAGTTATCATTCCTTGTATTGTATCATGTTATGATAAATTAGTGACATATGATTGGGTAAGTTGTACAGTTGGAAACTGATTGTTACTTACTATGTTTAATTTTATTAGTTATTGCTGTTAAATATTTTTTATTGTCACAAATTATTAAAATTTTCCAAGTAAAATGTTTCGGATGACAAAATGCATATCAATACAAATGCCTTTAAATATTGTTGTTCTGTTATATCTAAGCATTGAAATAATAATAAGGCATACAACATAAGAAATTAAAGAAAGATATGTAGTAAGACTTAACTAATTGTAAAAAAACATTTGAGCCCCAGTTTGCTAAAATAAGTGGAGGTTGATTGAATACTTGAGCAGTTATTAGAATAGAACATTTGAGTCTACGATTATTGGAATATGTGTAAGTCAATAAGAAGTTATGACTGAATATTTGAGTGCAGTATTACTAGAATAAGCCTAGGTCAATAAGCCATTATGATTAACTATTTGAGCGCATGATTACTTGAATAAGTGAAGGTCAGTATTACTAGAATAAGCCTAGGTCAATAAGCCATTACAATTGAATATTTGAGCCCAAAATCACTAGAATAAGCAAAGATCAATAAGCTGTTAAAATTGAATATTTGTAGGAATGTTTGGTATTTTTGATGTTGATCTTAAAAGAACATATCAGTGAAATGAAGAAAGAAGATCTAGAGAATCATCATAATCAACTACTATTATTCTTCTTTAATTGTCTTGATTTCCGTCTCCATTATTCACAGGTAAGTTTATCAACCATATGCTTTAATATGTTTATGTGTACCAATAATTTTTGGAATGTCTCCAAAATTACAAATTTTTAGATATGAAACCAATCTGAAAATAAATTAGAAATAGCCACAGGGTTATTATGAATAAATTTAATTGTAATTTATACTGTACAATGAATGCTGTTCCAGCTACATGTATACACAAATCACAATTTCATATGAATATTACAGGTAACACCACCCCTGAATACTAGAGTGGAAAGAAATATTTCAATGGCCGTCTTCACTCACTCACAAGGAAATCCAGAGGAAATGAATTTGCATTTAATCTTAAGTTTGTATCACATGGTTGATTGAAAACTTTTTTTATATTTATAATTATAGCAGGTGGGTGAAGAGGGTGTGATCAAGATTGAAGACTCTGTTATCCAGACTATTACTAGTATGGTCATGAAAATGTCAGAGGCTAGTTTTCGTCCAATGATGTTTAAGGTAATATGATGTTCCACACTGTGAATATAAAGAAATACATTGGTTGAGGTCACATGTTATGTCAGTGTTTTTGCTTAGTGTTAATTTTACATGAATAAGGTGAAAATCCTAACATTTGACCTCAGATACGGTTTTGGTGTTATGACCAACTTCACTTCTTTCATCAACCAAACCCATAATTCCCTGGATTTTATTTTGAGTTCATTTTTGATTTACTTTGATTTTGTTTTAATTTACTTTTATTTTAATTTCGATTTTTTTTTTTTTTTTTTTTTTTTTTTTTTTTTTTTTTTGAATATAATATTTATGTTACTTTTGATTTGATTTGTTTTTTACATTGAAAGACTGGAGTTTTATATAATTGTATTTATAGGTATTTGATTGGGCAACGAGAGATGGTATAAAAGACAGAACACTTATATTATATAGATTAAGTGATCAGTAAGTATATAAATGATATTTTTAATAGAATTGCAGGAGATCGATTTTAGACCATACCAAATATTTATTGACTTCCATCATTTAGGAATGGATAGCTTTCTATTAGATATCTATAAAGTCTGATTATACACAGTGGTGTTATGTGTTGTCTGTGGTCAATTGGTGCCGTCTCAGGATGCTGTTTCTTTTATTTTGTAGAGCTTATCTGATTAAAGGATTTGTATATGTGTAGTTTAATGGTCTTGTGCGAGACATTAACTAATATATTGATATTGCACGAGGGCTATATCTATATATTACGCAATCTCTTGCATGAGACCATTATACAGCTTAAAATACAGACACTATCCAGCACATGCATTTCAATGAAATATGTCATGCGGGTCCAATATTTCAACTAGTATAAATAATGTATGCTTGGCACATTGCCCGTACCATTATGTGAAATAATGGTAGACCAACATCAAAGGATGATGTAACATCTGTATTTTAAGTCTCCATAATACCCATTGGTCATTTGGATGCTTCTCTAATTGACAACCTTGAGGACAATTATGTGCTTTGGATGTACTGATACTTGTGTTAAGAATATGTTATATGAATATTACCAGTATTATCTCATTCTCTTAAAGGTTTTTATTTTCCCAGGCCTGACTTGTACATTCTGAAATATAAATCACCTTAAATTTGTTTCCGTTTATTTCTAGCTTGGTAGACACATTACGAAGTTTATTTATTATCGTAGCAGGACAAGTTGTCAACCATGCCGCTGAAGTTTTAGATGCTAATAATTCTAGTAAAACAGGCGAGTCCATCATGCTTCTGTTTACTTGTTGAATACAAGAAAATCATGAAGTTTATAATTAATTGTGTTAATTAGAACATATGGAAACTTACTTCCATCATAATTTGGAGAAATAGATCAAAGTTAGACATAATAAATTATCACTTGGTGCATTCAAGTAAGTTATTAATGGTATCATTATAAGCTTCCACCCTTACCGTTATCAATTATTCTTGTTTTGATTATTGTCCCCCGCCTTTCGAAGAAAGCAGGGGACTATTAAAATGGGTTCGTCCGTCTGTCTGTCTGTCTGTCTGTCTGTCCGTCTGTCTGTCCTTCTGTCTGTCCGTCTGTCTGTCCGTCACACTTTTTGGGACACAATAACTCTCTTCCTAATTGAGCTAGAATGTTCAAACTTGGTGTATGTGTTTATTAGGTCAATGCCTTGATGGAGTTCGAAGATGAGCATTTTCCGCTTAGGGTAAGCAGAGATAAGCAATTTGATTGGTTGATGCTTTGGGACACGATAACTCTCTTCCTAATTGGGCTAGAATGTTCAAACTTGGTGTATGTGTTGATTAGGTCAATGCCTTGATGGAGTTCGAAGATGAGCATTTTCCGCTTAGGGTAAGCAGAGATAAGCAATTTGATTGGTTGATGCTTTGGGACACGATAACTTTTAATTGAGCTAGAATGTTCAAACTTGGTGTATGTGTTTATTAGGTCAATGCCTTGATGGAGTTCGAAGATGAGCATTTTCCGCTTAGGGTAAGCAGAGATAAGCAATTTGATTGGTTGATACTTTGGGGCACGATAACTCTCTTCCTAATTGAGCTAGAATGTTCAAACTTGGTGTATGTGTTGATTAGGTCAATGCCTTGATGGAGTTCGAAGATGAGCATTTTCAGCTTAGGGTAAGCAGAGATAAGCAATTTGATTGGTTGATGCTTTGGGACACGATAACTTTAGTTCTAATTAAGTGAGATTGATGAAACTTGGTGTATAGTTTCATTACAGTAATACCTTGACTAAGTTTGATAATGAGCATTTTCTGCTCAGGGTAAGCAGAGCGATACGCAATTTGATTGGTCGAGACTTTGGAAAACAATAACTCTCCTACTTTGATTGTCCCCCGCCTTTCGAAGAAAGCAGGGAACTATTAAAATGGGTTCGTCCGTCTGTCTGTTTGTCTGTCTGTCCGTTCCGCTTATGGTAAGCAGAGATAAACAATTTGATTGGTTGATCTTCGAATTGAGTAAATGTTCATGCTTATTGTCCCCCGCCTTTCGAAGAAAGCAGGGAACTATTAAAATGGGTTCGTCCGTCTGTCTGTTTGTCTGTCCGTTCCGCTTAGGGTAAGCAGAGATAAACAATTTGATTGGTTGATGCTTTGGGACACTATAACTTTAGTTCTAATTAAGTGAGAGTGATGAAACTTGGTGTATAGTTTCATTACAGTAATACCTTGACTAAGATCGATAATGAGCATTTTCTGCTCAGATTAAGCAGAGCGATAAGCAATTTGATTTGCTGAGACTTTGGAACACAATAACTCTCTAATTATTTTCCTATTTCGGCGGGGGACATCAGCCTCACTGTTGGCTTGTTTTTATTTAGAAGATAGATATTTTGGTAAAGGAAAAATAAACAGAAGTAAACAGAACTTGTTGTTGTCGGCCATATTGGATTGTCTGAGTAAATGTTTTCTGTATGATAATGAAGGATTTGTTACTAAAGATAGATTTGATACAGTCATGTCTGCCATTGTTGATCAGGTTAGTATATAGGTACAAATTTTGGAAAGTTTTTTGGGGGATGTCTATCAATTTTAGGTTGGAGATGAGGTTAATCTGAAAATTGTTAATGTTAAGACATTAACCAGTATCTGTAGAAGAATATTGTAATCATCCCAGTCCAAACACAATTCTTAGGCTGGTCATGGGAAGAGACAGAGTCATACATCTATTGTTAAGTTGATCTAATTTATATGTTTGTTGTTTATAGGGTGGCTCAGTCAGTAGGACATTGACTAGGTTATCTGGGGTTCCCGTGCTGGATCCCTGCATTGGCCAAGAACGTTCATCAAGCATGGTTCCCCCTTGTCAGTAGTGCAGGACGGAGGGTCTGGCAAGGGAGAAAGTATATACGTTCAGATGGGACGAAACACCGAGGTCCCTTGTACAGATTTGGGTGCACATAAAAGAACTCTTGACAGTTGGAATTCGAATAAGAGAAGGCTGTAGCGTCGCTGTCCAGGCAAAATTTCCCTCATAGCACACTGCATGGCATATTCCCTTCATTAACCCTGTCCGAGCAGAACAGTAGGACGTTAAACCCCATTTCATTTTTGTTGTTTTATTTTAAAATGTCTGTGTATATTGAGTCTGTCCTGAGATTGTCATGTATAATTGTTTATGTGTGGTGTGGTCCTCCTGCACATACTACTATTGAAACTATTGAAATTAAGAACCACCATTAATATTTTCACAGTGTTCCTTACGCTGACATTGAAACCTTGTATAATGTAATAATCATGCCCTACCACTTTTCAATTAGTTCATTGACAGAACAGATGACAATGATTCTAGTGGGCGTATTTTAAGGCTATCTTATATATTAACAGTTAGAGAATTTACCATATAATGGAAGTGAGAAACCCTATGAAAACAGAATAACCAATAGTTTGGTACCATGTATTGCTAATTTAGCTGTTGCTGCTCATGATGACTCATTGTGGAGAAAATTAAACTATCAGATTCTACTTAAAACAAGACATTCTTCTAAAACTGTAAGTAGGCCTACATTGAATGTCTTTGTTTTCACATCTTTTATATGCATTACCTACATAAAACATATGACAACTAAAGTTTTTTGATTTCATGAAAAGCAATTCATTATCGGGTGTCCTAGAAAGGATGAGCATAACCTGTTTCCTGCACAACAACCATCCCTACTATAACATTATATGTATAAGATAATACAATCAATGCATATTTGTATTAATTGAATATAAATTTATTAGATAATCAAATCACCATAAGTTCTTTGTTATGTATTAATATGTAAGAGATTGAAGGCATTATCATTATATCAGAATTTACATGTTCTGTTGTTGTCATATTTTTGCATTACTTTGCAGGTAAGAATGGCCACTCTAGAGGTCGTGGATGAATTTCACAAGAAATTAGGAGAGGATTTTATGAGCCTCTTACCGGAAACTATTCCTTTCTTAGCAGAACTTATGGAAGGTAAATTTAAACAAAAGTTTTGCCATTCTGGAAAGCCAGAAAATAAATTCTTATTAGTCCATATAGCTTACAGTAAAATAATTACATGTACTAGTATATACAAATTTCTTAGGATATCACAGAATTTATCACCAACACTAAAACCTTAAAACATTTGGTTCAATGAGCCAGTTGCAGTGGCTTGGGTTTTCTCCAGTTCCCTCTGAACATAGGTCCACTGGGTTGCATTCACCTTGGGCACAGCATGGAAATATACTTAAACATGCATTATGCAAGAGCTAAATCTGCCTATTGCAGGTCTCTCTTTATGCCTGAAATGTTTTCTAAAGTATTAATTAGACATCAATTAACTGATCCAGGCCTTAATCAACTCTCGATGGCATCGGATTTCTCCAATTTTAAATAGATTAGAATGGTTCAGCGATACTTTGATTTAATCAAATATGGAGGACCTAGACTTAGCTTCGATCAACCAGTACGGTGGTTGAAATTATTGCACACGTCTGTCAAACCTTCAAAGGCTAATATCTTCGCTTGCAATAGAGTAATTTGAATGAAATTTTCAAATTATTCATTTTACATCTACTTTCGAACTATTATAGCAAGAATGGCTAGTTCTTTATCTAAATCTTTGGTAGATGGAGGATAAACCAACAAAATGCAAGATTAACAAAAACAATTACTTTCTCTATACTAGATTTTATAAGATATTGTTTTCTCAACTAAGAATGTTAAAAAAATGTTCTCAATTTTTTCAGATGATAGTGATGAAGTAGAAAAGAAATGCCAACAAGTTATCATAGAGATGGAAAAAACACTTGGAGAACCATTACAAAAATACTTCTAAATATCTTAATCATCTCCTTAATAAAATCTATATTTACATGTATTGAGTTGTTTATTTCTCTCACCTCTTTTCATTTGAAATACCGTAGGAGAAAGCGGTATCTATTATGTTGCAGGACATGCTTACTCAGCTTACTTCTTCAAGCGCCCCAAGAACGAGTGCTGCATAAAATATTGTCCACAGGTGGGATTTCTGTTTATGAAATCAAATGAATGCCAGTTAACTCGTCCACACGAAAAGTCTAGTTAAGTCGTCCACAGATATCAAAATAGATTGGTTGAGTCATCCACACGGCATTGGTTGACTCGCCCACACACTTATGGCAAAAAGTATGTTACTGGGCAAATGAATAAAATTATACCAGTTATTGTTTAAAATCCTAAAGAACAAGCCTTTGATTGCTTTTTCTGATTTCTGGGAAAAGGCATGCCTCCACATCGTCCAATAGCTAGTTTCAGCACTCATCTCTTGTAATTTGAACCATTATTAGGTCCATGGAATTATCTCCCTTGAGTCTTGAAGCGAGTTGTTTCCCCTTGCTTTACGTAATGAGATCCGCGTCTTGGATTTATACGTTTAAGATCCCAGAATTCCTTTCGGTAAACAACAACGCGTGTTACAAAAACAAAAACAAATTTTTGTCATTATTTGATAATCTGGTGAATATAAACGGTTGGGTTAACAAGAATGCCGGAAGGCCCAGAACTGCATTTGTCGAGTCGTTTCATCAATACAGTGTGTCGTGGAAGAATATTCACTGGAAAAGTTGTAAAATCTGAAGTCAGTACGAAAAATCCGGACATTGATTGGGATGAAAAGTCATACACGATTTCTTCGTCCTCCAGAGGGAAAGAACTACAAATAACCTTGACGTCAACCGGGAACAATATAAAAAAGAATACAAAGAAAATAGCTAAATTAAAGGTCCCCGAAAATGCAGGAAAATCTCAAAAAATATTCTTCAACTTTGGGATGTCTGGTCGGTTTAATTTTTGTGAGTCTAACGAGATGGTGAAGCATTCCCATTTAAACTTTTATACTGGGTGTAAGCCGCCAATGGTTCTAAGTTTTGTAGACTATCGGAGATTTGGAAGATGGAGAATTGATGACGATTGGGCCCCTGACAGAGGGCCCTGTGTAATCTTGGAGTACCCACAATTTAGGTACGGTGATTAAATCCGATCACGTTTCTTTGGAATTCGACCACCCAATCAACTAACTCATATTTAATCCAAATTCTTACTGAGGTAGTGTCGCACAAAATTTTAATCCAAAATTACAGTTAAATGTCGATATGATTAGAAAGTATTGTACATCAACTAGATTCGATAATTAGCACAAAGACTTCACCACACTTCAGACCTAGGTAGATTTAATCTATAGGCTAATGAGTAACAATGAAAAATAATAAAACCCCAGATCAAAGATTTATTATACCAGTAATAATAAAACCCCAGATCAAAGATTTATAAAAAGGCAATGAAAATACATTGATTCAGCATGATAAATCAATTCTTGGCTGTTAAAAAATAGGGGTTCAAACCCCGATACCAAAGCGTTTTGGTAAATTAATTTTATTGTTTTTAACAGAGAAAATGTGTTAAAGAGATTGTCAGATACAGCATTCAACAAACCTATCTGTGAAGTTCTTCTAAACCAGAAATATTTCAATGGAGTCGGAAACTATCTGAGAGCTGAAGTTCTTTACAGGTACATAATAATTGTGAATTGATGCTGGCAAAAAATAAATTATCTATAGCCGTTTGGAGAAAACCGCCCTCCCTGGATGCATACTGATTATTAATATACATAATTTCATTGCCCTGCCATAATTGTCTTTCTAATTACACACATACGCGTGCATGTGACTAGAATACATGTTGTTAGATTCTATATACAATCCTGCTATAATGGAGATTATTCAGTTGCTTCTCATTGTAAGAGAAGAGATAGCACAAAAATTCCCGGTAGTTAATTTATAGTTTATAATGTGTATACCTGTTATTTTCTACTTCTGTATATTAGAGCTGGTGTACGTCCATTTGATCAAGCAAGAGCCGTTTTAGAGGAATTGGTAGATACTAATTGCAGTGGCGATACAAAGATAAAGAAAGAAAATGGAGACGTACTAGAACTATGTAACCGCTTAGCTTTAGAAGTAGTTCAGTTAGGTAAATATGGCCAGAATATTATTTTATTCATCATAAATCTGTCAAATTTGTATATGGTTGATGTTTTATTGAAAGATGTGGTAATTATTTTTACCTTAAGATATTTGAAATTGATTAATATATTGATTGGTTGATTGATTGATTGGTTGGTTGTTAGATAAATGGAAATATCAAATTGTTTTCAAGAAATGAAATAAACATCGTTTTCTAAAATGTCGGACCACGTGGGGTGGATACACGAACATTCACATTCAATTTATACTTTAGGATAACAATTATGTTTTTACATTAGGTGCTACTGTGTATAATCCAAGTCCCGATGAAGATCATTCTAAATTTACTGCTTGGTTACAGTGTTATTATAATCCTGGTATGAAAAATATGGTTGATCATAACAAGAGAACAATATGGTATGCTGGAGATGCTGGTCCTATGGTACCTAAAGGTAACGCTAGTAGGAATGTGTTGTCGACCACCCATATTTAATGCGGACTCGTTGTCGTTAGAATTGTTGACATAATTTTGAAAACGTTTTGTGATTTTTCTTCAAGATGAATTTTTTATTCGCCCTGGATAACTAATGTTTTAAATCCGGTTTTATACCTAGCACAGATGATCGTAGAAAACGTTACCTAGTGTTTCTGACTATGATCGCTCAGCCACTACTAACGTCTGTAAAATATTTGCATGTCTGACAAAATGTATTAGTGGCTGGGGATAGGGATATAACGATTGGCACCACTGTCGTCAAGTTCATCTTGTAATGATATATGTGTTGTTGTTTTTGTGGTACGACACCGACACGGTTTTCTTAATCTTCCATTAAGTTGTTGTTGGCATGTACAATGTATTAATTCATGACTATTATATGTTTATACTATCAGATATAAAGACAAAGGGAATGAAAAAGAGAGCAGCACAGATCAAAGAAGAAATGACGGTATATAGATATATATATATATATATATATATATATATATATTAAAATCATATACATGTAGTGGGAGGGAAGCGTCGGTGTCAGTGCATAAAGGAAGTACTTTGCATTGATCGAAACGTAACCTTTTCCATGGCGGAATAAGTGTACACAAACGCGGTCTAGTCGTTTACTCCAACTGATCATATTACCATTTTCTTCTCTTTATCTAACTAACTAGTTTGTCCAGAGCGCACCATGGAATAAACGTTACCCGATTTCTCGTCACGTAAAAACAAATCTGCATATACAGTTCCGAAAATCGCACCGCTACATAAACAGTATTCTGAAATAATTATAGTTCTATCATTCCCGATAGTTTTTCCATAGCGATTCGTCTGTCAGTCCCTCATTTCCTATCGACAGTGCAGGGCTTTAAAATCTGTAGGCACCATATTTTGGTACACATCGCCGATAATCCCTCGGGTGCCTATACCGATAAACTTCATTTAAGGCCATTCTAGGTTTACATTGGTTTATAATTTCTATTGACTTCACACTGTCATCTTTATCGACATACTAATAATAAATGAAAGGAAATGGAGTTTAACGTCCTACTGTTCTGCTCCGACTGGGCGAATGAAGACGGGCATACGCCATGTAATGTGCTATGAGGGAAATTTTGCCCGGACAGCGGCGCTATGGCCTACTCTTATATCGAATTCCAACAACCAAGGGGATCTTTTACATGCACGCCAATGTGTACACTGGACCTCGTTTTCTTTATCCCATCCGAACGACTAGACAGCTGTCCTTATCATAGTAATAATAATTATGCTATTTTTTTCGTACAAGTCATCCCATTCATTTTGACAGTTTTTATACTCGGAAGTTCTTAATTACATATTAAGAAAACTTTACATTAAGATAGTACATATTTTTTACTTCTTATATGTAAACACTTTGCTTGTAGTGTCTTTAATATTCAACATCTGATATGTTGGCAACAATGGCATGAAATTCGGTTTTAATCACTTGATTTCGTTTAACGTAAGCGACCTAGTATATGGCCCATCTTAATCTATTCCTGTTCACATATAATTTGACCATTTGGAACGACAGTTGCCCGCTTGTAGTTGTAGTATGCTCATAGTTGGATCAACCATTATAAACATGGGTGAAATAAATTTCCGTTAATCGAACGACAATTAGACAATTTCTTTTAACGATACCATGTTCCGAACAATCTGCTGATACTTCACCTGGTTGTTGACGATGGAAATCAGACTTATATTCTTCTCTTATTTTAACAGACAACAGAAGATGAGAGCCAAGAAGAAGACGAAAGTCCAAAAAAGAAACCAAGGAAAACGTCGAACAAAAAATTGACAACTTTTAATCAGGAAGAAAAAGATAGCCAAGAACATGCTATAAATTCCCCCAAGAAAAAGACAAGAAGGGTTACCCGTAATACTTTAAAAGATTCGCATCAATCACAGACGTCATATTCATCGGATAATCCAATTGTTAAACGTGCGAAGCGTAAAGGAATAAAACAAAATTCTCCTGAGAAAAAAACAAAAAGAGTCACCCGAAGAAGTCTGCAAGATTCAGAACAGCCACAGACGCCCGGTTCTTTGGATATACCAGTTGTTAAAGGTACAAAGAAGGACGTAAAAGAAATAATAAATGATTACAATGAAACGATTACTACTAATAAGTCAGAAGTTGTAGTCATAAAAGAGGATAGCTTGAAGGATAAATTAGAAAGAACCAAGCGATCCTTACAACATAATAATAAAAATACCAGAAAACTTAAAGTACCAAGTACTAAAGTTCGAAAACTTTTATCCAGGCGTAAATTCTGACAAAATGGTGTTTCATAGAACAACTCAATAAACAAACCATCATATAACGTTTTCATTGAATACTGGACTATTTTTAATCGTGAATTTCTTTCTGTCGTCAATTTCCTTTCATATTGAATTTCACAATATAATTATCACTTACACTGCCTGGCAATGAATGTTCCGATATAGATTATGTACTAAGATTTTATACCCGAAGTGTTCAATATTTCTAATTGTGTTATTTTCATAATGATCATATTAATATATTTTTAGCACTATTTGTTTTGATTTGTACTCAACATTTTAATGAAATAGATTTGAAACTAAAAATCTTATAGATTTTGTCAGTTTTTATTACAGTGATTTAGTGAGGGTTTGCGGCACAGTGGATAAATACTATTGTAACATGGACGGGAAATCTTCCTTTGTTCTTTTCATTGAATAAGCAGATTACTTTCCCCCTAGCAGATTGGGTGAATCTTAACCGTGCAATAACTATACATGTTCAATGTTATTGCACTGGACACCTTTGATGGCTTACACTAGTTTTAGTAGAAATCATATAGAGAAGTGGGGTGGGGGGTTTTGTCCAATAACAACAAGCATGTTACAAGTCATTTATAGCACGCTTCATTCGTTAACAGGTTTAACCCCTCGGCCTAGACCTCTGGTTAAACCTGTTAACCCATGAAAGTCGTTCTGTAAATATAACTTAATACAAAATAATTATAAGATCAAATCAGTCGTTTTGAATTCTTACTGTCAATGGTTCTTTAATGCCTACGCCAATTTGTACACGAGACCTCACGATTGTTTTGTTGGGTTTTTTTTTGGGGGGGGGGGGGTTACGGTGACTAAGTAGGTAAGACGCTGGCTCGCTAGTCTGGATGTCGGGTGTTCAATCCCTGTTTTGGCCAAAAACGTTCGCCCAGACTTTTGCGCGTGGTCCCCCCTTGTCAGTAATGTAGGACGGAGGGCCTGACAAGGACAGCTGTCTAGTCGTTCGGATGGAATGAAAAACCGAGGCCCCGTGTACATATTGGCGTGCACGTAAAAGATCCCTTGACAGTTGGAATTCCATATAAGAGTAGGCCGTAGTACCGCTGTCCAGGCAAAATTTCCTGTCTACATTATCCTGGTTCGGAGCAGAACAGTAGGACGTTAAATTTCATTTCATTTCGCGATTTTTTGGGTCCCATCCGAACGACGGGACGCTGTTCTTTGTCAGGTACCATTGACAAAGGAGAAACCACGTTGGTAAATCCCGGAGAACGTCCGACAGTCTATTTTTCAAAATTTTCTTGGGGAGGTCCCCAATGTACTCGCTACTTTGGCGCTCACAAGGGGAATTCGTTGAGTTTCGCAAGTCCGTTCGTTTGACATTTTGTTCTCTGGTCGGATAAACTAGTGATCAGGCGATGGACGGTATCCGGTCAGATCAATTTATCTCGACGATCGGTGCCTGACTGAATACTGTCAGAAAGCAGTTTACCCTCCGTAAAGACTCGTGAGTGGGCTTCGTCGAGATTCGCAAGTCCGTTCGTTTGACAATTTACCTCAACGATCAGTGCCTGAAATACTGTCAGGCTGCATTTCCGGCAACCTGTTTTTCAAAAAAAAAATGGGGAGCCCCTCCCCCACTACCCCTAGTTGAAGCTCGTGCCTTTACCCCCTTGACCTTGGACTTTGCCCAAGCTTTGCCCCCCCCCCCCAATCACCGACGGCTAGCGCCGTCACTGTCTGCTCTGCATGACATTTATGTGCATTACTTAAATTAGTAACGAAGCATATCCAATTTCAACAAAGTCTGTTAATAATTCTTGGAGTTCTGGTCCTTGTTTTACTTTGTAGAACCATGTGCACGTCCGAATAAAAAAAGTTATCATTCGATCTGTATGAATTTTATATGCATTTCTTTAACTGAGTAAAATGGAGACGCCTATCGAATTTCAACAATTTTCGTCAATAATTGCTGGAATTGTGACCCTTGTTTCACTTTGTAGAATATTGTGAAAGCTCGAATAACAAAAGTTTTAATCTGATCAGCATGGAATTTATGTGCATTATCTAAATTAGTAAACTGGAGACGTCCGTCAAATTTCAACAATTTCTGTTAATAACTTCTGGTTCTTAAAAGGTGTAAATTTTTTTGCCAAAATTGGTGGGCAGAGGAAAGGTACATAACTACTGTAGTATATTTAGGAATCGAACCACGGTTGTGCAAAGGAGATTTAGTAACAGATCAGCCTATAAATTTATGGACTGCGTTTATTGTTACAGCTCTGTCGGAGGAAATGGCACAGGTGAATTATTCCATTCTCCAGATTGTTTGTTATTAAAATATCTATCTGAAGAATTAAAATACAGCAATGCAATGTACATAAGGTGTAATAACCAAAGCAAGAAATTATATTTAATAGATCCAACTATACATACTTTACAACCATTATCTTAGAAAATGTAGCCTACATTTAGCTTTGAAGTTTGTATACACCATAGTACTAATTTTAACTCAAATGACCATTATAAATTCTTAAAATAAACAAAACAAAATAATTCAAAACAGAAAATTTCATGCTTTTCTCTAAATTTTTTTTTTTTTTTTAATTAAAAGTGTTTGTATTTTAAAACAAATATGCTGGAATCTCAAAGTGTGCGCGGCTTTAGCGCAGTGTATGTATCAGTATGAGTTTTCACCAGTAATAGTAACTCAATACCATGTAAATCATATACAATGTACCTACATATTATTTTCGTCTGCTTGTAAACATAATCAGTCGCGCACGGCAAACCTGCGCAATATGGCGTGGCGTTAACTCAAGCGAGACGGTGAACTAGGAGAGGACTATATGTATAATGTCGGCTACAGTTTCAAAGCAAATACCGAACGAACAAGCATGGCGGTTTCTTCTGGCTGGAACGTCCAATATGTGTGGGGCCTTTGGTAGGTATTTATTTGTATTAATTCGCATTGTTTTCCAACAAAACTTTTCCTCAAAAGAGTCCGATTCGTAGCGCTTAACGGAGGGTAGTATTGATCAACAGAGAGACTAAGTGGATAGCTGAAACGACTGAATATGCGCATGGGCAATCGTCACAGAGTAAATTATGGCGAATGGGTTTTCCATAGTGTAACTCTATCGCATCCACAATCTTTTCGTTTGGTGGTTTGACATAGTTTTATATATGAAAAGTTTTACATATAGGCTAGATTTGAGGGGGCGCGATCGTGTGTATACGGGCAATGACCTCTAGCTAGAATGGCAAGCGCAAAGTTATGTTAGCCTCGGTCCACCTACATTTTAATTACGAATGGTATTGACTTACTTATAGAGGAATATCGACTTATTAAGATAGGTTCAATATCATATCTGGCCTGAATACTGGGGTAAACTTCCGTTCTTTTAATACCCCCCCCCCCCCCGTCTTAAATTCAATAGCCCAGTTGGTGCAGAAACGTTGGACGTTAAACCCCATTTCCTTTTCAATTCATTTAGTTTGTGGACCTACTTTACACACGGTCAATGGCCAGTGGTAAAAATACATAACTTATATAAGTTAATAACAAGAGTCTTAAGTTACACTAATCTACGTGTATAAACGTATAGGCTATAATTTATAATAAATAAACCGGTGTCTGGTTTCCTCCCACTTCTAAAGACCTCTTGAAATAAAATTGAACCATTAGTTCTAAATTACCTAGTTTGTGTCGAGTGGGCGATATGGGCCCCGGAACGATGTGTGCCCCCCACCCCCTTCTCTACCCTCTCTCGGGCCTCGTAAAATGTTTGATCCGATAGAATCTAACCAAGGACATTAACTACCGTTGATAATTTGATTTTGTTTGCTTAATTAGATTTTAAATAATACATTTGAGTGTGGGTGAAGTCGTACAAAATTAGAAATTGTTCGAAAAATCCCAATGACAAATATCGGCTTTTAAATTGAGGTCCGCTAGTAGGAATTCGAAATATATGCGGCCCATAATATCGCTGTCCGGGCGCAATTTCCCCACAAAGCACACTGCATGGCGTAGGCTATGCCCGTCTTGATTATTCGGGAGGGTGCAGAACAGGAAGAAGTTAAACCCCTATTCATTTCCCCTTGTCAGTGCTGCATGCGTTTTGAATGGGATAATTCGAATTCAAAGTACACTGTAAGATGTTTGCATCTCTTCATCAGCTTTAATTTACTCACCATACCTGTATCAACAGAATCCAGGTAAAACAATTTGGAATGTTTCTTTAAGGATTCGACAAATTTACATTTAACATTTATTATAAATTAAAATAAAAGGACAACTATATAATCCTTATCATTTTAGTCAAGTATTTCTGCACTTTCACTCAAGGAATAAATGTAATCCGTGAGCTATCATGTCCAACCACACCAGCTATTATATTCTGATCTCTCTTGGCGTGTCGCTGCATTCTGTACAGGAGTTTCTTAAGCCTGGTGCATACAACGTGCACTTTTAAACTATCGATGCTGTCGAAATACGGCTAAATGTACGACGGTTCAGGGATTGCCACCGGATGAAATCGTGGTCAAGGCGTCAAACACGGACGATATGCTCTCGCAATTTTCGGGCAATTGAAAATAGCTTACAATATTGTCTATGTGCGCGAGGTTTCGTGATAAGGCCTAACAAATAATTACATTTGTGCACGGTTACCCGACGGTTCCTAGTTTATGGGCCTTCCTTTGAAAATAGCTCGTTGTGTTTCTGCAGAAAAAATCCAACACTGAAATTTCGATATTTAGCCCAATTGAGCATTATGTTCCGGAACTTTACTCCGTAATTAAGCTGGAGATGTTAGGGAATCAACAATCTGATTAAATGAAATGAAATGAAATGAAATGGGGTTTAACGTCCTACTGTTCTGCTCCTAACCTGGGCTAATGAAGACGGGCATACGCCATACAGTGTGCTATGAGGGAAATTTTGCCCGGACAGCGGCACTACGGCCTACTCTTATATCGAATTCCAACTGCCAAGGGATCTTTTACGTGCACGCCAATGTGTACACGGGGCCTCGGTTTTTCGTCCCATCCGAACGACTAGACAGCTTTCCTTGTCAGCCCCTCCGTCCTGCATCACTGACAAGGGAGAACCACGCCGGAAAATCTGGATGAACTTTCTCGGCCAATGCAGGGATCGAACACCCGATCTCCAGGCTAGCGAGCTAGCGTCTTACCCACTTAGCCACGTGATCCCCAATCTGATTAAAACACAGATCCTATTTCGTTACGTTTTTTATAGTTTAAAATTTCGTTTTATTTGTCTGTAGTGTAAGCCATCGAAAGTATAAAAAAAACGAAACGAAATATAGATGATATTTTAATCAGATTGGGACATCAATTATAAACATGTTATCGTATTTAAAATAACATGTCAGATCTTACATAATGCATGAATCCATGGCATAATAAGAACCGACTGTGCACCCCAAAGTCATATCCGGATGGCCTAATCCTACTAACGGTTTGTTTAACCATTTAAACACTTAAAGCAATGCCAAAAATATGCTTTAGGTATAATATACGAAAACAGTTGACAATATCAAATATCTACGATATTAGAACATGATGTGTATCCACTATCCAAAATTTTATTAACGGTATTATATTGTTGCTCTGATATGTAAATGCCTACAATTCATTTTACCATAATTAAAACACCACAAACAATGTCAAAAATGAAGTTTATGTATAATATACTCGAACATTCGACAAAATCAATGTCAATTTCATATATTTTTTCAGAATAATTAGAACGGCGCCCTGAAGTGTTTTAATTTTTAAAAAAAAAATCAAAGAAACAAAAAATAATCCGACCTATACTGACCATGTTCCATTTTGGCCGAATAACCGTAAACGCAGACATATTATTTCTATTTTTGGCCTGAGTTGACCCTTTCAAAAGTGAAACTTACCCCCTTCTCTGGTGGAAACCAATACACGGTATTCGGATAAGTGTTACACGAAAAATAATGTTACATTACACCTTAATGCATGTTTAAATGGTTTATAAATTCAGTATTATAACAAAAGTTTTTTTATAGGTAACAATTCCTTGTGGTAGATTTGTGTGAAATTAGGATCGATGGGACGACCAGTGTAAAAATAATATTAGACACAGACACGTTGCAAAGCAGTATTTTTTCCCCCAAGAATATGAATTCTAAGGGTTATTTGGTTACAGGTGAAGGACGTGTTAGCCCGACCCAGATCACATAAATATGCATTTAATCTATGTATAGGTATAGAATTACACTGAATGATTTAAAAACGTTCACTTTAGTTGCATAATATGTTTTAAATAGCTTGGGAAAGAGGCGGATATGACAAGGACCCAGGAGCGACGGCAAATTTTCTTTTAAATATATTTTGCTGGCATTGTTTCATTTCATTCCTACTAAATAAAGAATAATCAGGCAACTCTACCACGGTTGCACATCATAGAGAGCCGGTGGGTGTAATTTTTTAAAAGAAAACAGAAGCGTAGTCAAAGCAGCGTGCAGTCAAGATCAAATTCAATCATTCGGCCGGCAAATAAGGGGGAAGGGGTTTGTGTGAGTGGGAGGGGAGGGGGTTGGGCGGTGGGGGTAACGCCTATCTAACTCTGGAATTATGGAGGAACTGGGTGTTTATAATGTTGATAGAATTAAATACCCTTATTTTTTCAGTCAGTCTACTTTCCTTTTTTTTTAGTAACCAATCCCGTAGATGTGATAAAGATTCGGATGCAACTAGAAAATGAACTGTCAAGTAAACTGGGAAAGTTAGGAGTATTTAAAGATAGATATTATAGAGGTTTCGCCCATGGTGGTGTTGTTATTTATAGAGATGAAGGGATTAGAGGTTTATATAAAGGGTAAGTTGTTTATCAAACAACCAGGGGAAATATTGTTTATAAATTTGTACAACTTTTCAGACGAGCTACATACAAGTTTATACCCATTCTCCCAAATCAATGGGGGAGTGGATGGCCGAGTGGTTAGCGCGTGCGCGTTGTATCATAAAGTCTGTCATTGAGTCAACTGGCGTGGTTTCGATTCCCCGGTTGTACGTGAAAAGGAGTAGGGTCGCCTGTCCAAACTCGTTGGTTTTCTCCGAGTCCTCCGGTTTCCTCCCACTGCTAAAGACCCCCTACGCGCAAGCGAATTATTGAAATAAAATTGAACCATATATGTTAGTCCCGAAATGGCCTAGTTTGTGTTAAACCCCATTTCTCTCTCTCCTTATCGAAAACAGTGAGCGAACAGAAGAAACGGAAACAAACATGTCACTAACAGTTTATTATAGCAAATTGATTTTGTGGTCGACTTTGCTTTTGTTTTTTTTCTTTGATGCTTGCGTTTATTTTCAACCTATCAATGTAACAGATAAATCTTTGAAGCTTGAGAAATACAAACATACTTTTCAGATTTTTATATAATAAAGGACATGTTTGTATAATGGCAACTCCGTATTAAATGTCATATTTCTTGTGTCTTATCTAAGTTAATATATAAAAGAATTGAAGCATGATATAATTCGTTTTATGTTATATGTAGAACATGTTTTCTTACAAATACTGATTATATCTTCCAAATAAACCGCGCCTAATCTATTTTTGTGTTCACGTGCTTGTTATATCTCTGTGACAGAAAAGTCTACATTGCTGAAAGTCAACAAGGGTCATCCTTATCGCGGAACACTGAATATCGAAAATCCGTTAAAAAAATGTTTCTGTCGCGTTAACAAGGTTTTCAAATAATGGAGAGTAACTGTTGAAAAGTGAATTAATAAGGCTTACGGTGGGGGGGGGCGTATATGAAGGAACAGAAGGTTATAGAATGCTGAATATCGATAGAGTTCGTTCTCTCATCGTCCCGTATTTGAACAAAAATACGGACAAAGAGGGTAACCCTGGAACAGAAGTTTGCTCAGCACTGAAAATCGAAAGGCCCCAGTGCTCCACACCACATTTGAAAAATAAAATCAGTTAAAACCTGTATTCTCTATTAACAAGGTTTTCTGAAAGGGGAGGGGGTGGGAACTCCAGGACGATGATGAGCGCTGAAAATCGATACGGATCGTCCACTCATAACCCCAATGCTTCAAATCAAAATTAAAACAAATCCGTTAAAAACTTCAGGTTATTAAGGCTTTCGGGAAATGGGATAAACTCCGAAACGACAGGTCGTGTAGCGCTCAGAATATGTTAAAAACTATGCGCACACATAAACATAATCGAAATCATTCTCATGATGTGAGATTTTCGAGAAAATTATTAGGGGATTTCGAAAACATTAAATTGAGATCGCAGGATCTCGAGGTCTTCTACAAAATTTTGCATGACCCCTATAAGCTCCCGTATATATTCAATATAGAACAACTTACAAAATCCGTCTTTATATAATATACATTAATAGCCCGATTTTCAGATGATTTACTAAGATCAGATTTTTGGTGACTTTAGTATTTTCGCACACTGTATTGAACAAAACATTTTCAGTATTTTATTTACGTCAAATGACTAAGTAATATACCCATCACCTTTGAATGCACAAACCCCGCCAATAGTGGTATATATCACTCAACACTCACAGTTTTAACACCTTAGTGACAAAACAGCCCGGTTACTAACAATTTTAAGTAACTAATAAACATTAGGTATATAAAATGATGACTTTGGTCTGTTGTACCATATATTTTCATTTATTAACTTTTTTGTTCATTAGTCATTGATATCAACTTTACAGTGGAGCTATTGGGTTTTTTTTTAGATTAGCACCGTCTATGTTACGTGATGGGTTTTACAGTGGTTTCAGGCTTGGAGCTTACGAACCAATGAAAGTTCTTTTCGGGGCTACAGATCCCGCCCACACTCCGTTATGGAAGAAGATATGTGCCGGTGCTATATCAGGTATTTATTACACAGTGCTTTGCAAACTGGAGATAGGCTACCTTGTTGTCACTAAGTCACTTACATGTAGTCCTGATTGATTTGATACAGCGCTCATCTCCAGTGTTTCATTGAGTGACTGGGGGGTTGGATGGCCAAATGGTTTAAATATATTAGACTTTATTATAATAAGATCCACAGAATTTGCGGTTCATGACATCTCAGTGTAAGACAGACAAGTCTCTGATCATTTCTACGTAAACTTTAAATTAGATTTTTAAGAAACCATTACCATCTAAAACAAAGGTGAAATGTCGCCAATTTAAGAAAATTATATCATCTTACTTGCAAGAGAACCTCGATTCATTACAACTGTGTTCAAATCATTCCCCTAAAGATGTTGATCATTTAATGCAATTATTTAGTCCAACGCTTGAGGATTTGTTGGATAAACATGCACCATAAAGTGTCAAACTCTTTAGAAAGAAGCCCAATTCACCCTGGTATTGCAACAAACGCCGTGATGCAAGGGCCTGCACTGTGCAGGCGATCAGAAGAACGTAAGTGGAGGAAGTCAGTGAACGTAACAATGTGAATAATCTTTTTCGAAATACCAGACAAACGTATTACAACAATGAAATATTATTATTAAAATCTAAAGAATCAAAAGCTTTGTACACAACTTTATCTACTTTATTAGGTAAATCTTAGAAATGAAATCGGCACTCCCACAAATTCGAAAAGAGCTGATCTGGACAAATATTTCTCAGGTAGAAAATGAGATCATTCCAAGCCATTCTGAGAGACCGTGGGACTAAAACGCTTGATGGAATCTAACCCAACCTGCCTGGTGCTTGCTGGATCCCTTTCCTTCAAAGATTTTATTACAATGTACTGATACCCTTCTTCCTGCAATAACTAAAGTAATCCATTTTAGGCTCCGATCTGGTAAAGTTGCAGTCATAAAACCCTTGATAAAGAAACCTTCACTTGATAAAACATTTTCAAAAACTATCGACCCGTTTCAAATTTGCCATTCCTTTCGAGAGTACTTGAAAAAGCAGTTAAGAAGATACTGTTAGAACATCTGCTTGAAAGCGATCTACTACACAAATTCCGGTCCACTTACCGTCAATCACATGGAACTGAAACTGCGTTAAATCGAGTTTTAAACTATCTAAATCTGATGGTGGTTGATGGCAATCTTGGACAGTTGGATCTTCTCGATCTTTCAGCCGGGTTTGACACTATCGACCACCAAATTCCCCTAGACCGCCCCCAAACATCTTTTGGATTGGATGGTTGTGTTATTGTGGTTCATCTCGTACCTTACAGGTCGCAGGTAGTTTATTTTAGTTTGCGATTCTTTTTCAAAGGAGGTTTTGCTACCATGTGGTGTTCCCTGGGGAAGCGTGCTTGGTCCAATTCTGTTTACATTGTACACGTCAGAGTTAGGGAATCTTATCAACACAACACCCATACTGATGTAAACCACCACCTCTATGTGGATGACACGCAGCTGATAGAAAAGTTAGACCTGCCAGCTTGGAATGTTGTATCCACAAGACATCAAAGCATGGAAGACACAAAATTCTGAAACTGAACGGTGACAAGATCGAAGCGATAGTCATTGGACCACACATTCGTGTGAATAAACTTAATTTTAAACTAATAGTAGTCGAAGAATCCGAATTACTCTCTCCCCGTCAGTCAGAAATTCAGGTGTCCTCATATAGATTCCAGCTTAAGACTAAACAATCATATCAATAATCTTACACGGAAATGTTACTTTCACCGGAAAAATATCAGTCGGATTAGAGATTATCTAACACCTGAAGCAACAAGTACACTTGTTCGCTCCTTAATCCTATCCCTTTTAGATTATTGTAATAGCCTTCTTGGCGGTGTGTTCAAAGAGTCCACCAAGAAGATACAAACGATACAAAACACTGCCGCTCGGATAGTATCTCGTCCTTCATAGTCATCTCATGTATCACCAATATTAAACTCTTTACACTGGCTGCGAATAGAGGAAGGGATGAATTTCAAGATTCTATCACTGACTTTTCAATCTGTACGTATATTACCTAGCACCATCTTATTTAACTGAATTAATTCAAAGTTATAAGCCTTCCCGGAGTTTACCCTCATGTGATCAAATACAATTGGTAACCCCAAAGTGGAGATAGAAGATATTTGGGGGAAGAGCTTTAAGGTTTTTTTTGCTCCATCTCCATGTTTTAAATCCAGACTTAAAACATACCTATTTAAACCTTATATTTAGTTTTAAATTGTGTAGAAAGCACGTAGAACATATTCTAAGTGTGGAATTAGTGCTATACAAATGTTCATATTATCATTATTATTAATAAAAGTATGGCAATTTTGGTATATATGGTAAGTAGAGCCACCCAATCTTACTAGACAAATACTGGATACCCTGAAAAACACCTGGGCAGCGCGCACAGGTCAATTGTCAGCCTTATTATAATGTTTATGTTGATAAATATGATGGCGAGCGGACGGGGAAAAAGTGAGAGACTTAAACGCACAACAGATTCTTAGAGACTAAACTGCGGAAAAAGAAGTGGGTTGGGGATAATCCCAGAATTTACTTAAGCTTCGATATTTATGGTAAATAGACAGCGATTAAAGACAACAGCGTCTTTTATATGCAATGGATTCTCTCTCGGCTTGGCTAGTATCCACTTCTTTAAATAGATTTCTTTTAAAGCTTGAGGTATTTCCTCGCGAATACAATGTTTTGAGAGGGATTTGAAGCAAAGTTTTGATGGATTAATTTCTGTGATTATGTTTTTAGTGCAAATGTATCATCAAATCATCCAGTTTGTACACGTGAAGGCATCTAAAACGTAAAGGATGCCCGCATTTTATTGTTTGAAGTTTCGAAATAATTTATACAAGTAAAAGTCAATATTGATTGTGGGATAGTCTTCGGTCATCGATCATTATTTGTTTCATAAATTTTTCGCGCAAATATTTCAGGAAAACGGGTATGGTAAAGTGGGAACAAAATTATTTGGGAAATTAACCCTGTTTGCCGTCTAGTCGGTAAAAAAAAGTGTTGGAAATCACATGACATTTTAGTCTGAGCCAATCTGCATTGTACGACCGATTCGTACATCGATTATTATATGTGTCATCAATTTTTCGGCAATCGGAATTTCTTTAGACAAGCTAAAACATTGAAAATTAGTGTAATAACTTGTGACCGGGTTCGAGGAATCTAAGCTGGAATTATTTCAGCTTCGGTCATTTCAGTTCTACCCCCTCTCCCACAGCATCTGGAATTTAAGTGAGCACAGAGTGGGATTTAGGTTCTAAAGCCTCATAAATAAGGCTATATTTGGCTACATTCTTGTTGCTGCACTCACGGGCTGGAATAACTACAGAAAAACGCGTTTGTGGTCTTCTACATTTCATCAATTTTCTGGGGAGATATGACTGAAGATATCCCTCGACGGTCCACTCCAGCTTTCGCTAGTAACCGACTCCGTTTTCCGCGGCTTCCAGGAATCTAAACACAATTTTTTCGGCCATTTCTGTTCCCTCTACCCGAATACCTGGAATTCAGGTGGTAATACAGTGGGTTTTCGGTTGCAAAGCCACATAACGCTTTTACGCCGTCTGATTTTCAAAATTCCCTGTGAGAGGCCCCGCCCCTCCCCAATAAGCTCGACGCCGTGCTTTGCTCGCTTGCGTCTGGTTTAATCGGCCACTAAGGAAAATGTTTTTCGGGTTCTCCAATTTCTGCCTCATCAAAGGTGATGGGGGATCCTACGCCTATATTTATAGCTCAGTTGGTGCAAAACAGTAAAACGTTAAACTCCATTTTATTTTGTTCTATTTACAACCTGGCGTTGATATTTCTTTCGAAACGTACCACAGCGCTTGTTACTATAATAAACGGTTCTAGGATTAACAAATTTATTTACTGCAATATATCTGGGATCTCTCCTTAGACATCTCCCATGTTTGACTAACGATTAATGTTTTATTTTATTAGTATGTTGTTCCGCTGATATAAAATATTGACATAACTTGATCAGAGAATGTCCTGCTAGGTAATGTCAAATGTCTCATTAACATGGCTTTGTGTCTTAATTATCACCCACACTGTGCGCCATAAATATTTCTGTACATTATTGAATGAACCATACTGTTATTATCTTTTAATCTGTCAAGATACAGTTGTATTAATTATTAATACAGTTATTAATTAGACATTTATTAGCTTAACAGGACCATAATCAACTCTCGATGCTCGCCTATAAAATTTTGTTTGTTTAAAGGTGCGATAGGAAGTTCAATAGCAACGCCCACTGATCTGGTCAAAGTTCGGTTACAAGCACAGCGTCAGCCTAAGCCTGGAGAAACGCCCAGATATCCCACAATGCGAGCAGCTTTTAAAGAAATTCTACAAAAAGAAGGTATTCGGGGTCTGTATGTTGGCATCGGACCTACTGTTAAAAGAGCCGCCATACTGACAGCCACACAGGTGAGATCGGGTGTTATTTTCCCGTATAATCTTCACCGTTAACTTTAACCCTTAGCACAGATCACTAACACTTGTCTTAATTCTTAAGAAAACGTAAAAAATGATTATTTATTAGATATGTAGCTTATATTAAAGCGGAGCCACGGTCAACCATTTAGCGAAACGCTCGTTCTTAAGGAGATTTCGGGTTCCCTCCCATATTGATGGCCGAGGAATTTCCTCAGGATTTTCCATCGTGGTGTTCCCTTGTCAATGGTGCGGATGTTGGGGGAGTCGAGTTGCTCGGATGGAACGAAAAAACGAGGCCCTGTGTAGATATTGCCTGCACGTAAGAGAACCATGAAAGCTTTTAATATATATTTATTGTACAGAAACATTAATAAATCTACAGATCGGTTTTGACCATGTTCACATTAACGAAGCTGATATAACCATGGCTGCCCCCCCCCCCCCCCCGCCCTCGCCATTACAGGCCTAGTATGAAAAAGTGCCTAGATGTTAGAATGAAGCGAAAAGCCGAGTATCGATGTATGCCATTATCAACACATATTAAAATTTCCCCGAGAGTTGGGAACATTTTCATAATAGCACAATGTATGGCGTATGTCCGTCTTCATTAGCCTCGCTCGTGTTGAAATGTAAGACGTTCAGCTCTATCAATTAGTATCGATCGCGATCATTATAGTGTCATTTCCTGTCACAGTTATGATATTCATCTCCTATTAATTAATCCCAATTAGACTTATATATACATTTATCTATCTCATTTAGAAAATAAATGTTGAAGTACAATAACAAATTAATAAGATACGAACTACATAAAAGGACATCCTCCACTTATTTAGAACTGCATTCTAAAAGTTTCCGGCCTCGCCATGAACGGATCGCCCAAACTCAGCCCGCCTGCTCATGTTGCTAGAAGAGTCTGTTAGCACGTGGTTGACATGCAAAACATGAATTCTATATATAGCTGCCCAATTGCATAACCACCTCATTTGCTCTCATAATTGATAACTGAATACAGAATCATGATTAAGTATCTTCATTTGAAAAAATTTACGTCGACGCCATTTAGGTGAAAACACTCCCTTGTATTGTACAGTGGTGTGCGGAATTTACAAGGGGCTGGATCAGCACTGAAGACGAACCACGGTCTCGTGGCCCTTGTAACGTGACCATACAAGATAAAGTAGATGCTACGTTAGACAGTTACCTACTGCAAATGACATTAGCAAAACATCATATTGTTATTCCGGATGAAACCTGGGTGCATCACTTAGAACCCCTCCCCCCCCCCCCAAAAAAAAGTCAAAGTATGCAGTGGAAGCACGTGACGTCACCAACGCCCCTAAAAGTCAAAAGCACGCCTTCCAGTGACAAGGTAATGACCCCGTTTTCTGGAGCTCCGAGAGCGTAATAACGTTAGATTATCTAAAGAAGGGGCCTTCATCATAAATGGGGTTTAACGTCCTACTGTTCTGCTCCTAACCTGGGCTAATGAAGACGGGCATACGCCATACAGTGTACTATGAGGGAAATTTTGCCCGGGCAGCAGCGCTACGGCCTACTCTTATATCGAATTCCAACTGCCAAGGGATCTTTTACGCGCACGCCACGGGACCTCGGTTGTTCGTCCCATCCGAACGACTAGACAGCTGTCCTTGTCAGGCCCTTCATCCTGCATCACTGACAAGGGGAAACCACGCCGAAAAATCTGGGTGAACTTTCTCGACCAATGCAGGGATCGAACACCTGACCTCCAGGTTAGCGAGCCAGCGTCTTACCCACTTAGCCACGTGATCCCCTTTGGATCCCCGCGTTTGATCATAGAACCAAAACATGCAATATTTTTTTTTCTATATAATATTTTATAAAGACATCGGCATGACCACACTAAACATACAATAACTTACTATATGATTTTCGATACCAGCGTGTGATCATTATAGTGTTTTACTATTTTTAGATGCCGGCGTATAATTATATGAAACGTAAAATATTTTTATTATTTTGTAAAGATACCAGCGTATGATCACACTTAAAAACACCATTTTCAGATACCCGCATATGATTGCACTAAAGCATATTGTATTACTATTTTTAGATACCAACGTATAATCATAATAAGCATATAATATTTTACCATTTTCAGATACCCGCATATGATTGCACTAAAGCATATTGTATTACTATTTTTAGATACCAACGTATAATCATAATAAGCATATAATATTTTACCATTTTCAGATACCAGCATATGATCGCACTAAAGCATATTGTATTACCATTTTTAGATACCAACGTATAATCATACTAAGTATACAATATTTTACCATTTTCAGATACCAGCATATGATCATACCAAACATACAATATTGAATCATGAATTAATGAACGAAGGACCAAAGCTACACATAGTATCATCAATGGTTGCAGGTTTGGCTACAGCTATAACAACTTCCCCTGTTGATGTTGTTAAAACTAGGATTATGAATCAACACGGAACAGGTAGGATCCAAGTTGATTTTCTGTCTTTCCTCCTTGCGCCGAGATATTTTGAGCTGTGTCGAACATGCTAGTCGATTTGTACTAGGTCATTTCGGACAAACATATGGTTCAATTTTATTTCAGTAATTCTTTTGTGCGTAAGGGTCTTTAGCAGTTGGGGGAAACCAGACAACCAGGAGAAAACTCATGAGGTAGGACAGGCGAGTCTACCCCTTGTCACATACATACTGGGAATGGAAGCCACGACACTCAACTTAATGACTTGACCCTGGATAGTAAACGGAGGTTTTAGTTATTGGCAAAAATGTGGAAATCTTTCAATGAAGTTTCCCGTCTTCATTAGCCCGGACGATGCAGAAAAGTAGGACGTTAAACACCATTTCATATAAATTCAGTTGCACAGATCTTGCATTTGGCAAGAAAATGAATTATTCTCTAACATTTATAAACCCAGATTAGGCAAATTATTTTAAGTAAACTATGTTTGTTTATTCACAGGAGCTGATAAAACATATACGTCGGCATTTGATTGTTTGTTTAAAACTATTCGATCTGAAGGACCTCTAGGATTATACAAAGGTTTTATACCAAATTGGTTGAGACTTGGTCCACATACTATAGTCACTTTTTTCATATTTGAACAATTACGTCACGGTATTGGTATGAGACCAATCTAACGAAGGCAGCATTTCCGTACAAGATTTTAATAAAGATAAATAATGTGGTGTAAGGTGTTTTATATGGAGATTAATGACTATAGTACTGATGAGAAACTCAAACCGCATTTAATTTCAAAACACAAATCAGTCTTTCAGTGATGTAGATATTCCTAGATAAGTGTGTTTTAATGGTAATATTTTTGGAATGTCGGCAGTGCCAGATTTAGGACAGATTATATGGAAGGATAACGTTGCCAATATTATTTCAATGTTCACGTTGCAAATTGCATTATAATGTCAGCAGTTCAAAATATGTATTTTAGTTTTACAATTTGCAATTTCCATTGCTCCACAATACCAATGTCACAGTGTTAAAAAGCACTATTCAATAATACAAAATATATTTTAGGGTATCGCGGCCAATATTAAATGATCTGCGACAATGTCGTTTCCATTGATTATATGTAAAAAGTACGATGTACAAAGTCCTAATACCGATAATGATAAAGTCAAAATACCTCTAAGGCAAAAGTAAATGTAAAGTTGACGGTTGATCACACGGGTCCCTACTATACAGAGATCTAAGTACATGTATCCATTAATGGGGAATCTGTATGGAGGAAGTCTTAAAAAGATATTTCAATTTATTTATTTATAATTCCGAAGATATCTTAGTTTCCAATTTAGTATGTTCTACTAAAAACCTTTCATACTTATTAATATTGAGTATTTCGTTTCGTAGCTTAGCCCGATATATATAGAACTTAGTTAAAATAATTACATGATTAATGAAGATCCATTCAGTATTATTTATATAATCTGGTTTGTTAGTTAAACCAAGATGTTTGATATGTGTTTTTATATTTATCTTTACATTGCTGCGATCTAACATAGTCTGAAAATGATTCCATATTATTTGTGAAAATGGACAGAAAACAAAGAGATGTTCTACATTTTCTATATTAGATTCGCAGAGGTATTTTAACTTTATCATAACCCGTTTTTAGGACTTTGTACATTGTACTTTCTACATATAATCAATGGAAAAGGCATTGTTGCAGAGCATTTAATATTGGCAGCAATACCCTACCATAAAAATACAGTATAATAGTTATTTTGCACATTACACTTCTCCATTCTGAAATTTGCATAAGAGAAAAATGCATAATAAAACTAAGCATATTAGAACATACATTATATGGGATCTGCAACGAAGCTCAGTTGCATACGGAAAAAATTCCGGACTAGGCCGGAAATTAATAATTTACGCATTTGTCTATTGTGCAAAATGCAGAGTGTAATATGCAAAATATACTATATATTGTAAACGGCTCATGCTTTCAAGAGAGAATGGGGATCTCCATTCCCCCTATGGCCCTAAGTATTATCTTTATCTTACGGGTATGTACTTTTTGATCTTTCCAGGTCTTTCAAACGTGGTTTAATATAAAAAAATAAGCACAAAAGTTGTAATATATTTTAATATATAATATTGTATATCAGAGAAGAATGCTACGAATTTCTTATTTTTATAATCCCACATTTCATGTACTTACACTTAAACTAGATGCGTATATGACCACGTGCATATGGTTTGTTGATATAGTGAAGGTTGAATGATTCGTAGATTTTCCCCATTTTATTTTTTAGGATTTATTTTGGATATTTTATTCCAGATACTTTTATATCATTCACTAATAAAGAAAAATCTCTTATATATGAAAATATATGGCACAAACAGGCCGAAATCGTCATTTTATATACATAATCTTTAGTAATCAAGAGCCACGGTGGTTAAGTGCGTAAGACGCTAGCTCGTTAGCTTGGAGATCGCGGGTTCGCTTCAGGTGTTGGCCGAGAAAGTTCATCGGCATATTGCGTCGTGGTTTCCTGCTGTCAGGGTAGCAGTCCGAAGGGTCTGACATGGCCATCTGTCTATTCGCACCGTAAACACATTGGCGTGCACGTAAAATATTCCTTGGCAGTTGGAACTCGATGTAAGAGTAGGCCGTAGCGCCGCTGTTCGGACAAAACTTCCCTCACAGCACGCTCACAGTAGGAGCAAAATAGTAGGACGTTAAAACACATTTCATTTCATTTTGTTTAGTAATCAGTAGTCATAAGTTATGTGTTATGTTACTAAGGCGTCAAAACCGTGAATATTAGCCAGATTTGTGTATCATAATTAGTCACGCTTCTACACAAATAGCAACACCCTTCTCAGCTGTATATACAAACAATGTGATTATTTGTTTGATTTAATGACAAAAATATAGTGAATGAACAATTATAATCATAATACGATACATATCTTACTTATAGTTCTTATATTGTAATATACTGTATCATTACGTTATCTAATAAAATGTAGTTTAATGTTTCATCTCGTCAATACAATACTCATAATTTGGTTACTTTTCATCTATACTAATATTTGTGACTGTCGTTTGTCTGTCTGTCTGTCTGTGTAACTGCCGTAGATTCATATATGTATTAGATTAGAATGGTGAGCCGAATGTCCGTATTTGAGACTTGGTACGCAAGTCTATGTGTTTGCTCAAAGTTGGAGTATTCATTGTTAATTTAGAATTAATTACCGTTCTACTTTATATCTAATTAATATTACTTTGTTACATATATATACCTTTTGTAATAGGTTATCATATTTCATTAAGTATGAATTGGGTCATTTATTACTAATTTAAGCTGATTTGGTAAGCTCTAGCATATCCAGGATTACTCCAGCGCACAACGTTTTTCCCGGGCAAAAATGGAGGAGCCATAGAATTTTTGTGCGTGATAAAGTTAAGAGTTTTCACGGTGACATTATTAAATATGACCGTTTTAACTAGTTTGCATTACAGAGCTATGGTTGCCACTTATAGGGTGACCCATGTACTCACAGAAATACAGTCCACCGCTGATAGTTCGATACTACCACTGAAGCGTGCACATTCGCCGTGCCGAGACCAACTTTCTGACAGTATGATACTATAAATAGCCATGGCACGTGCAATTCTCTACAAATCGATCAACTATTACAGCCGTAAAAAATTTATTGTTGACGATTTTGAATAGCAGTAAAATTAAGCTTCTTGGTTATTACAGCAGATTTAGAAATTACGTTCGTTTCATTTTTTAAATCGCTTTATCATTAACTGTACCGTTAAGAGCGGCATCTTTTGGTTTAGTACAAATAATATCTCTGAATCACTCGGGTTAGACAGGAACATGATACTAGCAGTAGTTTCATTTTATTTTACAAGCTTCTTAAAACGATTGTTGAGCTACCTAACGTGCTTATTTCTAAATTCAATTTCTTGTTCTAGCTTTCTGTTATGTTTCGTAAAAAAGTAGTCTTGATTATCCCGACCTGTCAATCAGACGTAGAATTGTCGATAGACTGGTTAAGCGAGACTAATTTCAAAACAAGGGCACGTAACCTATCTTTTACTCAAAAGTGTCTGGATGTTATGGACGACTCTTGGAACCAGTTTTCAGTCTATTATTTATACATGATTAATGGTCATAGCTTATTAAGTACAACATGATCGTTTATTTAGTGACTATAATTGTGTGGAACTGATTTGAGGCTTGGCATATATATAAATATTGTGGCGTAATTGTCGAGATATATGGAGATATTTATTTATGGTGGGTCACCCTACCACTTAGCATTGTGTTTATGCCGGCCGACTAACGGTTCAAGATATTTCTTCGGTCCGGTGACGTCAATATGTGAACTGTTGGACTCATAATATTGGATTATGATGATGTGACGATATCAGCGGTAAACGTATCTTATTTTAGACCCTGAGTATTTGTTGCAATTACTTTGTTCTAACAGTCACATACGTTTGTTATTTATGACGTCTACATAATTTCTGATGTGACGGTTGATTCACAGATGTGGTAGAAATCTAAGTAATACCTATCCGGTAGTGTTTAGTATTTGAGAATTTAAAATGAAAGTTACATAAGCTTCAAGTATTTGAGTACTTAAGAAGAACATATATGATGTAAACTTTGTATGTATCCAGTTTGAACAGTTACTTTTAATAAATTTGTCAGGAGTAATGAAACTCGACTTATCAACTTATTTATCCTGTGAACCTGATATGTAAATTCTAACCGCCCACACCTAGACCTCCCTCCTCCATTCCGATTTTGTGCCACAAAAGAGGTGTCGGCAGTTATAGTCTGTCTGTCTGTTCGGGATTGGCGGCTACACTAGGTCTGCCCCGAGTCTGAAATTTGGGGTATAGGGGTCGCTCGGACCGGGGAGTAACATAGGCCAGGTGGCGTTAGTCTACCACTTCCGGTTTCGGAGTTATGACCCCCGAGCGAAACCGGTCTGTTCGGGGTTGGCGGCTACACTAGGTCTGCCCCGAGTCTGAAATTTGGGATATAGGGGTAGCTGGGACCGGGGAGTAACATAGGCCAGGTGGCGTTAGTCTACCACTTCCGGTTTTGGAGTTATAACCCCCGAGCGAAGTCTGTCTGTTCGGGGTTGGCGGCTACATCTGCCCCGAGTCTGAAAATTGGGGTATAGGGGAAGCTCGGACCGGGGAGTAACATGGGCCAGGTGGCGTTAGTCTACCACTTCCGATTTCGGGGTTATGACCCCGAGCGAAGTCTGTTCGGGGTTGGCGACTACACTAGGTTAGACAAGAACATGATACTAGCAGTAGTTTCATTTTACTTTTACAAGCTTCTTAAAACGATTGTTGAGCTACCTAACGTGCTTATTTCTAAATTCAATTTCTTGTTCTAGCTTTCTGTTATGTTTCGTAAAAAAGTAGTCTTGATTATCCCGACCTGTCAATCAGACGTAGAATTGTCGATAGACTGGTTAAGCGAGACTAATTTCAAAACAAGGGCACGTAACCTATCTTTTACTCAAAAGTGTCTGGATGTTATGGACGACTCTTGGAACCAGTTTTCAGTCTATTATTTATACATGATTAATGGTCATAGCTTATTAAGTACAACATGATCGTTTATTTAGTGACTATAATTGTGTGGAACTGATTTGAGGCTTGGCATATATATAAATATTGTGGCGTAATTGTCGAGATATATGGAGATATTTATTTATGGTGGGTCACCCTACCACTTAGCATTGTGTTTATGCCGGCCGACTAACGGTTCAAGATATTTCTTCGGTCCGGTGACGTCAATATGTGAACTGTGGGACTCATAATATTGGATTATGATGATGTGACGATATCAGCGGTAAACGTATCTTATTTTAGACCCTGAGTATTTGTTGCAATTACTTTGTTCTAACAGTCACATACGTTTGTTATTTATGACGTCTACATAATTTCTGATGTGACGGTTGATTCACAGATGTGGTAGAAATCTAAGTAATACCTATCCGGTAGTGTTTAGTATTTGAGAATTTAAAATGAAAGTTACATAAGCTTCAAGTATTTGAGTACTTAAGAAGAACATATATGATGTAAACTTTGTATGTATCCAGTTTGAACAGTTACTTTTAATAAATTTGTCAGGAGTAATGAAACTCGACTTATCAACTTATTTATCCTGTGAACCTGATATGTAAATTCTAACCGCCCACACCTAGACCTCCCTCCTCCATTCCGATTTTGTGCCACAAAAGAGGTGTCGGCAGTTATAGTCTGTCTGTCTGTTCGGGATTGGCGGCTACACTAGGTCTGCCCCGAGTCTGAAATTTGGGGTATAGGGGTCGCTCGGACCGGGGAGTAACATAGGCCAGGTGGCGTTAGTCTACCACTTCCGGTTTCGGAGTTATGACCCCCGAGCGAAACCGGTCTGTTCGGGGTTGGCGGCTACACTAGGTCTGCCCCGAGTCTGAAATTTGGGATATAGGGGTAGCTGGGACCGGGGAGTAACATAGGCCAGGGGGCGTTAGTCTACCACTTCCGGTTTTGGAGTTATAACCCCCGAGCGAAGTCTGTCTGTTCGGGGTTGGCGGCTACATCTGCCCCGAGTCTGAAAATTGGGGTATAGGGGTAGCTCGGACCGGGGAGTAACATGGGCCAGGTGGCGTTAGTCTACCACTTCCGGTTTCGGAGTTATGACCCCGAGCGAAGTCTGTTCGGGGTTGGCGACTACACTAGGTCTGCCCCGAGTCTGAAATTTGGGGTATAGGGGTAGCTCGGACCGGGGAGTAACATAGGGCAGGTGGCGTTAGTCTACCACTTCCGGTTTCGAAGTTATGACCCCCGAGCGAAGTCTGTTCGGGGTTGGCGACTACACTAGGTCTGCCCCGCGTCTGAAATTTGGGGTATAGGGGTAGCTCGGACCGGGGAGTAACAGGCCAGGTGGCGTTAGTGTACCACTTCCGGTTTCGGAGTTATTACCCCCGAGCGAAGCCGGTCTGTTCGGGGTTGGCGGATACACTAGGTCTGACCCGAGTCTGAAATTTGGGGTATAGGGGTAGCTCGTACCGGGGAGTAACATAGGCCAGGTGGCGTTAGCCGGGTATCCTGCTAGTGAGCACCTATTTTTTCACGGGTGGGATTCGCATTATTGTCACAATCCTTTGCCATTTAACTTAAAAACCATATAAACATGATCATGGGGTCTTGTTAATGAAACTGAGGTAAGATAAAAAAAAACTAGCGATCGTCATCTGCATTTTCCGGTGTTGATGTTGGGGAATTTTCAATTCAACTTTGTAAATAGTGAACGGAGCAAAACCATTTTTTGGAATGATATTCCTTTAAGAGATTCAACTTTTACAATATTGTAATTGAAAATCTCTCAAATGACTATCCTGAGATTGCATGTCGCAGCTGTGCTGTGTAGTGCGCTTCTGCACAGTTTGTATTTTAACGTCGGAAGGTCATAAGGATAAATTTTACGAGATATCTTAACTTATAGAAATCAGCCCCAGACAGGGTGCCTAGGTTTTGGGGTACTTTACCAACCCCCGCCTCCAAAACTTAAGTGCTTATCTCCACTACGGCTTACAGAAACCATTCCGAACTATATTGCCCTATATCCATTTTGCGGGCCTTCTGAAGGCTTTAATTACTCCTAATTTTTGGATAGTACATTTTGACGGACACATTGTCCCTGTATCTGTCCCATGGATAATACGACCATGGTCTGTGTGGTGTCAAGAATTTCGATATTCTTTTGATATCCGAGATTCGAAGCGTATATATTAAACTTCTACACGGCGGTTGATTGGTGAATTATTTTATAAAAAAAGGGATCTTGAAGAACAACATTTTGGAAATTCGAGCTTGCCTAAATTTGTATTAGTTGTGCAAATGTAGTGTTAAAAGGTCACAATCTGACTACATAAGTTCACTTTTGAACTATTGAAAATATCTATCATTTGATAATACGAATGTCCATTGTGTATAGAAAAGGGCTGTGATAATCTGGGTGTGTGGTTAGAAACGCTCCGACAGTAACTATTGACAGAAACACCAACAGAAGAATATTATCTTGATCGACGGACCAGGAAAAGCCTCGATGAAGAGTTACGAAGTGGACTGAAATTCACTAACTGACTTTTTCTCAGAGCCGCCTTAAGGATTGGAGGTTCACCTGTGAAAATTCTTTGATAATTAGGGATATTCAGAGAAAAGAGAAATCACTATCTGAAAGCTGGTGGAGAAGACCCGGTGTTAATCTTGCCTGCTAAGATCGCATCTCCACAAAATAGATATTTTATCTTGGGCATTTACCGTAACGATTAGGGTCAGACATGATAAAAGTGGAAGAATTGACGAGCATACCGCAGCAAGGATCGCCTAAGCTCGTGCTGCATTCACATACTAGTGTGGTGGAGAAAGAACAAAGCTGTCTGAAAAACCAATCTTCACATTTCCAACTGGATTGTCATGCCATGGAACGGGAACGAGCTAGCAGACCACAGGTCATCAACAGAAATCAACACTTACCCGAGAATCCTGCGTAGGCGGCCAGATTGTTTTTCAAAACCGAGATAATTTAATACTTTGAATCCTTTGGCAATAAGAGGGTGTTGTTTTAGTATAAATAACAAAGATATAACGCCTGTCTGCTATAGAATAACACTAATAATAACCTTATTAACTATATATTATCAATTTCACGTCACAAATTATGGACATTACAATAAATAACTGTTATTAAACATATATTTAATGGCATGATACCGTATAGTTCCTTAAATGATCCTGGATAATAAACGAAAAACAGGCATCATGTTGGTTGTTGATAATTCTCTATATTCTTGCCTTGGGTAACAATTAACATGAATTGCGCTACACAATGAATGCAACAAATCTTGGTACAAATGCTTAATAGTAGATAAACTCAAATATGGATATGGGGATTGACATAAAAGTCTGTCTCCACATATCCAAATACAGGTACATAACGTTTGTCTTTGGTTTGTAGAAAGGCCCCCCTGACTGATTCGTTTGGGTCTATACCAAGATCGGATTAATCCGATAGTCTATCTCGTATGCAAGTACGGTTACTAAAAGGGTTTCGCCGTTAGACGTTAAATACAATTTATAAAATATACTATTCAAAAAAAGTAGGGGATATTTGATTTTGGGGTCATAATACTAAAATATGCAAATGACTACGAAAAAAGTCACTATAGAACCTAACAGAAGAAACATTTCCAGTTACATGTGACGCCCAAACGCACCAATAGCTACCGCATGGAATACAGGTGATGCTTGGGGTCATCATGGGGGTCCAACCCAAGATTTGCACGACTCTAACTTTGAATGTTACAGTCATTGTGGCATTGAATTCCAGGGTGGAAACATCAGTTTAATTGTTTTAGTGACCAGAAAACAAATTTTGATATGCGTCGGCTTACCCAAAATGAAAGGTTACGTGCCCTTGGCATGCTACAGATCGGCACAACACAGGCGGTTGTGGCGCGGACGATGAATGTTTCTCAGTCTGTCATAAGCAGGCTATGGTCCAGATACCGTGATACACAATCTGTACAGGACAGACCACGCTCCGTACCTTGGCCTTGAGAAATCGTGTCATCACAGCAAATCAGATCAGCGCTCGTCTTCAAACAGACACTGGTGTGAGAGTGAGTGGCCAGACGATTCGGAATCGACTG